AATCAATCAATCAATCAATCAATCATCCACGTGCAACAGTCGAATTTGTACGACGGCGACGCGTTTTTACCAGAGATGTACGTATATACCGCGAACCTGCCAAAACGAGACCGTCACATAGGTACCGGCAAATATAGCTATCATACAGACAGCATTGAGCCATTAACCGGCACCAGTAGTATAATACCAGAAGTAGTGCGAGTAGCAACAGACACTCCCAGCACGTGAAAGAAAAATGAGAAAAGAACCGTCGGCAGCTTCTAAAAGACCGGGCTTACCGCCAACGCAACAAGAGTCTGGGTCGCAAGTCGCAGGACCAGCTTTAAAGAAACAATCTGTAGAAGTGCCACAGGAGGAATACGATAGCCTTCTCTTGGCCGAGAAGGAAAAGAAGGAATCAGAAGAAAAGAGAAAGGAAGAACAACTCTTGTTCGAGAAGGAAAAGAAGGAGCTAGAGAAGCGTCTAAAGGAATCAGAAGAAAAGAGAAAGGAATCAGAAGAAAAAAACAAGGCCCTCGAGGCCCTCGAGACTGGCGAGTATTACATGTCATACAATGACCTTTGGAATATAAATCTCGTTGAATACAAACAAGATCATCTTGACGCCTTGACAAGAGCGGGGCCCCCAAGCATTGAGCGGAATGGTTTAAAGTACTATGAGCGCACTCTCCGGCTTGCAACCGATGAAACAGGTGACTATGTCGTCGCTGAACGAGATGGGCGCAGCGGGGTGTCATCTAGAGGTTCGTACACCAAGGCTAAGATCTGGCCCTTTGACGTTTTGGCTTCCACTCTCAGCGACGACAAAAAGCGTTCGAGGCATCGAGTCAAAGGCAGTCAAGTTGCACACCTCGTACCAGCTGGGAAAGTCTTTGCGTCTTTGCATACCTACGTGGCACCGATGGTGTTTGGGCTGCAAAATGCCTCGTTTGAAACAGTACAAAAACTGATTCACGGGAGCCGGAAAAAGAATGAAGAGACTGACGGAGACAAAGCAACAACAAAGAAAGAACAGAAACCGGATTCAAACGAAAGCGCAAGCGAAACGAATGCGCAACAACTAGGAAAGAACAGAAAAGTGAATTTAGTTGGAACGAAGCATTTTACAACGAATATGATTCGATTGAAAGGCCAAGAATCCAATTTCGACACGAAACCTCATCTGCTGATAGTCCCAATTCTTTCAAGTAAAAATGCTGTAGCGTGGCAAGGAGAAGGCTACGAAGCGCTATTCATTATTGGAACGCCAAAACCACTAAATAAAATGGGATTCAATACCGTTCCATTTGACGGAAATCGCTCAGAAGGTCTCGATCACGAGGGCCCACGTCCTACCGTCGTGCTCGATGATAGAACTGTTGACGAAAGTCGAACGGAAAGCATTGGTGCTGTCGCAGATGAGGTAGGCTTGAAGGAGGAGGGAACAACGGCAAGTGAAGAGGAAATTGAAATTGCCCGGAAATTGCTAGAAACTGCAGTACTCGCTCTAGCACATTGCGTCATCCGGGATGCCGAAAAGTACAATGACTGGGACATCCAAGAAAGGGATGCTTTGTCAAAATTGAAAGACAGTCGTGTTTTTCCACCAGATCCAAAACAAGTTTGGGTGCCCTCCGTTATTGAAAGAAGCAGTGCAGAGGACCGTCTGCGAGTACGAAAGATTGCTTTCGGGAGCTATGACGCCCCTGTGGGTGAGAGCGATGTAGGTCATCCAGCCCCGGATCCAATGCTACTGATCGCAAAAGCGGCCAACAACTGGGCAGCTGCTCATCGTCAGCGACTGCTGGCTGGAGCTGAAGAAGAGGAGGATGACGACGACATGTCAGAGGGGTTCATCATAGAGATGGAGTCACATCTGGGACATCTTGATGGAATGAAAAGGAAACAGATAGATAGAGACGTTCCTGGAATGATCATTGAATGGTCATGACGAAATACCACTGTACTGTAGTATGTAAATGCCTACTGTACTGTAGGAAACTTTTATGATGTCTAGATTCTTCTTCGAGACCATAAGGGAAAAGATTTCCGAACAAATATTGCATGCGATGCATTTGGTCAGCGTACCATGGACGATCAAGTATGGAGCCGGTGGCAAGACAGCAGTCGATGACTGAACCTACCAACCACCAAGTGGGTAAGAAAGACTACAAACTTTGATTGCAATGGCATGGACCCAAACAACGGAGACTGAGGTGGTTCGCTCATTCTGTTATACCAACGATACGAAAGGAAGACGAGAGATGCTAAATTGAATACGATGACTGCCATGAATACTTCAATGTTACTGCTCCCTGCTGTTTCTCAAGTCTGCGAAGAAAAAAAACAATGATACTTGCCTTGTCCTTCTCATCTTGAGGACTTATTGCGGATGAGAAGTTGCGACTTGGCGTACTAAGATTTAAATTTGGCCAAAGCTTGAGCTGTAGTCTTCGGCTGTAGCACTTTCTAGATTCTGTCCATCCAGATCCCATTCCATCAGAAGGAATATTACTAGTAGCTGTGTTGTCAGATTGCTTGGTTGGTGCTGCTGCAATATTGCCATCGCTGTCATCCTCCAAAGAATCGAAGTCGTTATTAATCAATCCAGGGTCCAAAGGCAAGTCTCAATGGCACTCAAATCTTCTTCTTCTGGATCTTCGATAATGACAAGAAGTGAAGGTTTGAATTCCTTCTTCTCATTCACGTTGTCGACTTTTTCTTCCTCCTTTAGATCTTTGATAATGACAAAAAGGGTTGGTTCAAAATCGATCTTTCCTCCTTCTGGCCCTTGCTTCTTCTGGCGCTTGCATTTTTGCCCACTTGACACTCTTGGCCTTGGTCATCTTTTTCAAATTCGCCTTCAGGACGCTGCGTCGTCTGCTCCATTGCCTGCAAAGTGTTTGATAGGTTTGGTGAATGTCGAGTATCATGTACCGAAGAAATATGATTGCGACTGCACAAACCAAACCGGTAATGATGGTTTCTTGAACTGGTTGTTCTTGTTGTTGAGTGATGGCACTCATTCGAGGTAACTTGGGAAAGCTGATGCTTTTCAAGCTTTCTTGATTGAGGATGGTCAACCGACGTATGCCGTATGCCGTATGATTGGCGAGGACAGGCAAGATGAAAATGTTGACAACGAAAAAGGCAAAGACGTCGCCCGTAAAGCGAATATTTACTTGCGATGATGCATTTCATATTCTTACTGTGGTGATTATTGCAGCCAAAACTACTATAAAATAGGACTAAACAACTCCCTAGAGCAACGGATAACTTTTGCGCCGCCCGCGCGCCGCTCATCGGCTCCAAATTTTTCAGGAGATCATCTTCATCTTCCGTATGAGAAGTTTGACACCAACCAGATACAAACCAACATCCACCACATTGTAATCTGCGCCGCTTTTACAGCACACAATGAACTTTAACCGGCTTCGAACACATGATCCTGATGTGACTATTGTGGTGGGAAACGGGGATACCGTCCAAGAATTTGAATGTTATCAGCTCATCCTAAGCATGTCTTCGGAGGTCTTTGATGTTATGCTTTCCACTGCCATGAAGGAGAGTCATTCATCACGGATCGAACTTCCCGATAAGGATCCACAAGATTGGCCACTATTCTACTCTTTTATTGATCCCAAAACCTGTCGGAATGCAAAAATTGATACATCCAACGTTATGAAACTTGTTCCTTGGTTTCATCAGTTTCAAATTGAACAGCTTCTAACGGAATGCGACGAAATTATGGAGGCTTACCTCTGTTCCAAGGCGCCGCAGAATTGGCGCAAATTGACAGAAGCTCAATTTGAAAAGCTGATTAAATGGACCAATTTCTCGGGCATGTATCAGTTGCCTCTAACATTGGAATTGTCGAGTGGTCAAATCAAATCTGTTCTGCAAGGACCCTATGAATGTGTCACGGCTCAATCCCTAAAGACCCTCCTACCTTTGGTGGCCGATAACGAAATTGTATGGGAATCTATTCAAGAATATCTACCAGCCGATGCGGCAGTAGTGGCGAGTGGTGGACCCTTTTCGGATCGAATGGCCCTCTCGCAAAACCCCTTGCTGCCATATCTCTTGGAAGCTGGTTTGCAACGCAAACGAGAAACGGGGGACTCGCGCTTTGTGACGTTGGAAACTCAAATTATAGATGCTTTGCAAAGCAAGAGAACAGATCACAAGGATGCTACAGTGGCTCGGTGTCTCAAAGAAGTCAAGGGTGTGATTGCCCGCTACAAGACCAATTAAGGTATTATGATTCCACCTCAACAGCCAAGCAATCAATCAAGGGGCGCGAATCACATGGAAAAATTATGACACCTTTTTGAAAGGTTGCGTCAAGCAATGGGGAAAACTCAATAGTCAAGTAAAACCGCAACAGCTGTGCAATACCGTATCCGATTTTTGTGCATCGAGGCATTACTCATTCGATTGGAAAATATATAATACAAAGCCTTAGAGCCCAAACCTAGCTTCCAGCAATGATTGAGTTCAACTCTATTTTTTGTATTGCTACTTCAATTAGTTCTTGTTTTGCCAAGTGTAATTAAGAAATTTATGCGACAACGGCAGCTTCTTCCTCTTCTTCTTCCTCTTCCTTATCCTTCCACATATCGTAGTCCTTGATCAATTGAACAAGGGCGTCAACGGCATCCTCGTTGGGGACACCCTTTCGGACAACTTCCTTTCCGTAATATAGATCGACCTTTCCTGGAAGAGTACCAACGTATCCGAAATCGGCGTCAGCCATCTCTCCGGGTCCGTTGACAATGCATCCCATCACGGCAACAGTGACACCAGGCAAGTGTCCAGTAGCCTCAGTAATGGCCGCGGTAGTCTCTTGTAAGTCGAACAACGTTCTTCCACATGAAGGGCAAGAAACGAATTCGGTTTTGGTGTTACGCATACGCGATCCTTGCAACAAACTGAAAGACGTTTGACGAATAAAGTCAACAGCGAAGGGCTTCTTCTCGCTGGTTTGTTCAATCATGATACCATCTCCATTTCCATCGGTCAAAAGGGACCCAATTTTGGTTCCCAACGCCAAAGCCAATTCGTTCGAGTCCTCAGTCTCGGTGGCGAAGTGGTGAATGACGGAATGCTTGATATCGTTGGACTTCAAAATCTCGAAAATGCGACGGGACGCATGCAAGGGGCTGAGTTCTTCCTTGGGCTTGAGCATGATGAAAGCGGGGTTGAGGTCCTTGATCTTCAACAAGACATCTTCATCTTCGTCACCATCCAATCCAACAACCATGCGGATGGCACCTTCAGGGAGCTGTCATGATCGACGAGAGATTGGGCAAGAAAGTGAGCGTGAGAATATTCCTTTCCTTTCCAAAATGATTCACTATTATTCGCAGCACAAAACTTACCTTTCCATCCTTTTCAATGGCTTCGTTCAATGACATGAACGCAACGGCATTTGGCAGAGGATCCTTCTCCAATTCAGCAGCTGGAACGACAACACCCATATTTACTTCGATCAAACGGCGAATGGCAGTGCGGGCTTCAGTATCAGAAGATGGGGGAATGGTGGCCATAAAGATAGAGTCGGTGGTAGCGATATCCTTAAAGGGCATGCCGACAGCAGTCTTGCAGCCCAATTGTTGGTACAAGTATTGAACATTTTCCTTTTTGAACATTTCGGGGGTGACAACGGAAAGGACACTTCCGTTGGCGTCCAAGAATTCACTAGCATCCACATTCTCATCTTCGTTCTTTTCGGGAAGTTGTCCTACGCGGCGAGCAAAGGTCGTAATATCACGGGTATCCTTGTAGGGCTTGACAGCCTTTTGGCGAGCCATGGAATCGTCGTTGCTGGCCAATTGGGCTTCGGCCATTTCTGCAAGGCGGTTGCATGGCTTGTATTCGAATTCGGGGTCCTCCGTCAACGAGACACGAACAGTGTCACCAATACCATCGGCCAAAAGGGTTCCGATACCAATGGCGGATTTCATACGTCCATCCTCACCTTCACCAGCTTCGGTGACACCCAAGTGAAGAGGATAATCCCATCCCATGCGGTATTGTTCGGCAGCCAAGAGACGATAAGATTGGACCATGACAAGGGGGTTACTGGCCTTCATGGAGAAGACAAAGTTGTGGTAGTTCATGCTTCGGCAGATATCAGCGAATTCAATGGCAGATTCGACCATTCCACGTGGGGTGTCTCCGTAGAAAGAAAGAACACGGGAGGACAAAGATCCATGGTTGGTACCAATACGCATACAACGGTTCAAGTCCTTGCATTTCTCAACCAATGGGGCCATGGCATCCAACAAGTATTGACGCTCTTGGATGTAATCTGCTTCTGTTTCGTAAACCTTTTCTGCGAAATCTTTGCGACCATCGGCAAAGTTACCAGGATTGATACGGATCTTTTCAAGGGCATCAGCGACCATCAAAGCAACCTTTGGCTGAAAGTGCATATCGGCACACAGAGGAATATCGTATCCCTTCTTGAAAAGTCCCTCACGAATCTTTTGGGCAGCGGTGGCCTCTCTTCTTCCCTGGACAGTAATACGAACCAAATCGAAACCCTCATCAGCACATCTCATAACTTGTTCGATGGTTCCGTCGACATCAGCAGTATCAGTGGTAGCCATGGTTTGTCGGACAATGGGATGGTCCGATCCAAATTTGATGGGTCCGCATTCGACGGTTCGGGTTTTACGTCTAGTCACCAAGTGCAAGTCCTCACAGTACTTGTCAATGGCACCAAATTCTTCGTCGCGTGCTCCCGATTTCCACGAGGGAGTCCACAAGACATCGGATGCAGATTTAGCAGTCTCGGTGGACTGGATTGTCGTGTCGTTCAATTGTTAATGTTGTTGGATTTTAGATCATTTTTCACAAAGTAGCAGTTTTTCAATTCAGCAAAAAAAGAGTGCAGTGAAGGATTCATTGTTTCCATTGATTGCAGCAGTCAAAGGTGAAATAATAGTAAAGAGATGAGAAGAAAGACAGTCAGTTGAAGGTAGACACATCAAGATTTCAAACCACCCATGGCAAAGGTCAGCTTCAAGGTATCTTTTCGTTTGAAAAGTTACTTTGCGTACACTCAAATTCCCTTTTTTCTAGAAAGGATGAGTGCAAAAGGGAATCCATGACACGAAATATCACGGGACTCGGCATTACAGGTGGAAGTGAATTTTGACGACACAGAAAACGCACCATCTTCATAGGCGTGGCTGCCTGAGATTGGCTCTTCAATGGAGCAAAAGCATCGACACTGAGAGTAGTGACTCCAGCAAAAAGGATTGCCGAGACAGCGGCGGAGGAAAATTTCACCATCGTTGCTGTAGAATAAGATGGATTGGTGATGGAGTTTTGATGTCTCGGAGGTTGGTCTGGAGTTGCGGTATTTTATTTGCTTGAATCTGAGGAATGACGTATTACGTCAGCACACGTAGAAATGTACGACAGGAACTTCAACACAACGTCTGTCTCTCACCCGAGATTCATGAACTGACACATCCGGTTCGATTCGATTCGATCCTTTCAGTCGAGACCCAAACTACAGCTTTTCCTGTGATAACAGCGTAGGCACTACCATACAACTACTATAACGTTACTGTATCTTTCTAAATGATCAATGATTATATTAGTTCCTCTAAAAGGTGCAGGAGCTCCACTCCATGAGTATGCCAACCGTAATCCTTCCGGTACAGGCTGTGTTGAACATTTCCAACCGAATTCTGATGCAAACGAATGACTTGTATCCTCAGACTTGTAAATCCAAATTGTTGGATGGGGCCAACTGTAGGAGGAATATTGCCATGCTCACTATCATAATTATCCTCGACCACATCATGTGTCTTTTCGCATACCAGAATGACTTTTGCTTGGAGCCCCAAAAAGTTCTTCCAATTGGGTGTCTTGGAAGCCCCTGTGACTATGCGGTGCTGTAGAAATCGTCCTCGATCTTTCAATTGCAGTCCCTTGGTGCGTTCCTTTTGGATAAATGTCAGTTCTCCATTGTCACTAAAGCCCCTCCAAACCGAAAAATTCGTGTCCAAGAGTGTATGACATTGACGACCGTTGAAACAAGTAGTATGTGTACTGGCAGTAGTAGTAGTAGTAGTACCCCTACCGGTAGCGCTTGTGTCATCAAAATTGTCGTCGTCGCCTTCAATTGCAGTGTTATTATCCGCAAAAACATGCAATCGAGCCTTCCAACCTGGATACGACTTGGGCAAGTTCCAACAATGACAGCCTCGGCCTGTCGGCAGACTGCCCACAGGTATCGGTTCTTCCAGATGAATTGTCACAGTGCCGTTGGTACAAAAGTCATCCACATGCGACAAGAAGTTGTCGATGGTCCGGGTATGCACCATTTCACCCTTTTCGTTGTAAATATCAATGCCGAGCGTCAAAAAGTCAGGATTCCATCGTGGTTTGGGCAAAGGCTGCAATCGGTCATTTTCTTGCAAGAGGATTGACTTTTGGCGCTGCCCAAAATACCATTGAAAGGCATTATTTTTGTTGTTGTTGTTGTTGTTGTTGGTGATGGTGGTGGTATTGGCAGTGATCCACCAATCGGCTCCTCCCAATGAAGACGTCAGACAATCGGGCCATAATTTGAGACAGAGCTGTTTCCAAACAAAATTCTGTCCCAACATGGGAACAATCTGCGGGCTTGTTAGAAGAAATAAGCGGCCCAGTTCTTTAGCGGTCAGATGAGGAATCAATAAACGAAGGACCTCGGATGGTACTCGTATAGAAGATGATAATGCAGATGGTTCTTGTTTATTTGTGACAGCAGGTATCATCGTCTCGTCATCTTCTTGTTGGTCCGGACTTGATGGCTTTAAGTCAGGCTTTTCGTCTCGTTGGTCCTGTTCTTCTGTTTGCTTCTTTTGCACGGTAGCAACCAAAACTTGACTCAGCTTTACGCATCGCATCAGTAGGCCTTGCGCGTCGTGAAGACTCATATTATTGTCGTAGTCGTTCAAAAGTTGGGATTCCCATTGGGCTACCTGTTCGTGCAAAGAAGTGGAAGCCGAGGCAACAGCTTTGCTGTCATTGCTGGTGGTGGTATCACTAGGAGCTATTGTCATGCTTCGTTTCAGTGCAGTACCACAGTTCTATCTCACGTTAGCATATATACAGCCCAATAAAACCTATGCTGTTCAATACGCTGTACGAGTAATATGTAGGTCTTCATATTTTTGCTTTTTAAGCAATCTGTCCGTTGGGATCATTTCTACTGTCCGTATATACGAACGTAATGTCCGCCAATAGAAACCATCACATCCATCAATATGATATTGAATCTATATAGTAAAATAAACTATTCATCCACCAACAACATAGAGGAAGTCAGCTTTGTTCGTCGAAAGCTGCTCCGTGTTAGTGTTGCTTCGGACTTTATCGTTTCAGAAACAAATGAACTTTGAGTTTCAAAATGAGTGGCACCAATCAATCATCAAGCGCTGACGAGAATGGCAGGCAAGACGACGAACAACAACAACAACAACAACAACAACAACAACAAGGCGACGAAGGCAATAACCGTCCACATACTCGAAAGCCACAGCATCACGGCCAACAAGAAAAGGCTACCAACGCGCTATTGAGACTATTGTCAACAGAGATTGCCAAGGATGGAGGAGCAAGTTTGGTGACCTCACTCAAAGACTACTTTGCCACGACCATCAATGGGAAACGGTTCAACGCGCTACTCACACATGCCATTGGCCATGCCAAACTCCTTCGATTCTTGGAAGTTCATTCGGAAGTCTTCAATACAGACCGACATGCCTCTCCCCATGTTGTGCATTTGCTTTCACGGCAATACGTTGTGGACGAGGATTTGATCTCGGATGCCAAATGGACCAAGGATAAACTACTAGTGGTGCGAAACAAGGCATCCTATGTGCTACAAAAGCGACAAGCCAAATTGAATCGGCGGAAAAAGAAACAAGAATCCATGGATATTGTCACAGAAAACGATACTACTTATGCTGCCAACGATACCACCACGGCCAATTTGCCATGGCTCCTTCAGCAATCGGTCGGAGATGTTCATCTTTACCTTAGAGCCTCTGGATTTTATGTTCGAACGTTTTACGAAACGGCAAGTGTAGTTGAAACGAAAGAGACACAAATTCAAATTCCATTGGTGGGAAGCCGAGCTTGGCAAGACTTGGTGCTGGAGGAATTCGGAGCGATTTTGAAAGCCGATCCAGAGTCACGATTTGTCATTGGAACATTTTCGTCGTCCAATGACGGTGGCAGTCCCAAAGTGTGGCTATCCCACTTGGATCCAAATGCTGCGACTGTTGCTACCAAGATAGCAGATGGTACTTTCTCGTTAAAGAACAACAATAATGGCAGTGTTGGGGTTGAAACGGAAGCGGAATCATCACCATTTTTGGACGAACAGTATTTGGATACGCTCGACGAATGCTTGGTACGGTTGGTCCATCAAGACGGTGGGCACGAAGTTCGATTAGAATTACTCTTGCACCGACACTTGGAATTGAAAATGGCATTGGGAGGCCGAGACTTTTCCACCATTTATGAGAAATGCCAAGATCGATTGGAATCATCGGACATTTCCTGTCGCAAGGAAGGAGTGGACTGGATCTTTGCCTCGAATCGAACGGCGGCTGCCAAATATGGTGGTGGTGGTCGCATGGTGGTGGACAAAGTTGGATTGTATTCCGTGACAAACTCCAAATGGGGAACGGCAATTGGAAATATTATGGTGCAATGTTGCAAGACTACTGCTTTTGGAAACACTACGACAAAGTTGTCGAATTATGGCACCACAAGCGATGGCGACAATGATACTGCCACGAATAGTTCGAAACCTATATTGGTCGATATGACAGCATCGGTGGGTGGCATGACTTTGGGATTGGCCAAGACGGAATACTTTGATCAAATTCTGGCCTACGAAATGGATCCTGAGCGAGCAAAGCTCTGTCAAACCAATATGAAACGTCATGGCGTGGATCATCTTGTGGAGGTACGGAATCAAGATTCCGTAGAAGCTCTATCTTCCTTCCTTCCTTGCAAGGAACATCAATATTGCTTTGTTGTTGATCCACCATGGGGAGGAGTTGCGTACAAACAAAAGACGAGACGATATTCTCAATTTTTCATGGGACCCTGGTCACTCAAAGATGTTTTGGTGCGAATGTACATTCACTGCAAGCCATGTTTGGTGGGAATGCGATTGCCCCAAGACAAGGCAAAAGTAAACGAACTTTTGGACGAATTGCGACAGGAAAATTTGCGCTTTGAGACCAAGACCCTTCGACAACTGAGTGTCCAACGATTTGTGGTCCTGCACTTTTTGCCCGACTAGGTAAATGGAAATGATAGATAACATTCTTTCTTTCAGCACCCAATCCTTTCCAAGCTCTGCTATCAATAGAGATGCATGCATGCGGAACGAGCTTCCCGTATAGTTCCGTTTGTCCTAGCTCCAGAAAGTGATGGGAAGTTTGCATAAAATATAACGTCCGAAAAATCTCTCCTTCGGCAAGTAGAGTGAACGTTTACGTGTGTTTCTGCCGCCACCAAAATCGTTATGTATGAAATCAATTTTATCACGGAGAGTTTCCCGCAAAATCCTTCCTCAGAAACTGCAGAGGCAACGCGTGCCACGCAAAAAAATCTTGACCGCATCAGAGATATTATATGTGGTGACAATATACATACTGTCTCTATAACAGATTTCATTCAGTCAACTTACCTAGCTTGCATCTCTGTCCCAACATCATCTAAGATTGTGTCCTCATAAGCATACGTTACAAGTCTACCACTGCAACAGCAAGAGAAAGCAAGTCCCAATCAAAATGCAACCAGAAAAAAGGAACAGAAGCCCATCCTTAGTCCCGTCAATAATAAGTTTTGGTTTGGGATTTCTTGTAATGGTAATATCGTTACCGCAACAAGCGCAATCCTTTGTAACTACCTCAACCTCGAGCTCCTCTCTAGGCTATGGGTTTGCAGTGGATGCGCGAGGCTCTGCAAAAATGCTCATCTCTGGAATTGATTATGTGTCAGATTCTGAAAAAGAAACCCCAAATAGCCAGGAGGCAGATACCGATTGTTATGTTGGCGTGGGTAATGCCCAAGAATTGGAACTAGTCAAATTCGATTCTCTCAATATCTGTCTTGATATTGCCATTTTGAACTTGCCAGATCAACCAGCAGTTGCTGGACTTCCTGATGCCATTGTTACGGCCATGGCGGGACAACAACCCATGATTGTATCTCTGAACTATGGAACCGAATTTTCCGACTCGACCATGGTCGATTCGGCATTATTGCCCACTCGATACTTTCCAGCCGTGATGACTACCGACACTCAGATGGGAGGAGTCTACGTGGCGCTGCATCCTACTCATGGAACGTCCATCGCACCAGCTACTCCACAACCCGACGGTTCTACTGATCAAGCCGAAGAAATGCGAAGCACTTGGTTCTTTTTAGAACAAATGACCAGACCAGCACCCATCTTTGTACAACCCACGGATGGCGATCATTCGCCCAAGATTGTCAAGTACAACATGTTGACAGAAGACATGGAATGGATCCATACCTTGGAAACCCAAGAGGGCAAATCGTTGGTGGCTGGCATGGCCGTCTCCCAAGCTCGCAACTTTTTGGTCATTGTGGGCTCAGCGACTGGAACGGGTCCAGGAGTCGGTGCTGGATCAGTATCGGATGGCGACTGGGATGGCTTTTTGACGGTCCTGGACATGAACATGGGGGACTTGAATACGGGCAATTGGAACCTGACATACAATGCACTGCATTCCACCCGCATCCGAACCCAAAAGAATATTGACGATGTCGTGCTGGATGTGTGTGTCTCGGGCGACAAGGCTTATGTAGTGGGTTCCACACAGGGTCGGTTCGAAGGGGAAATCAATGGCGGAGCCTTTATTCTCAAGTACGACATTGACCCTCTACGGTTGCTGTGGGTCCATCAAATTGCCGGCAAGAGTGTAGGAGCAACGCACTGTGCCATTGACGGCGAAACACTTTATGTGGGAGGAAGTGCCCCACCAGGTATCGAATTGGACGAGCGGAAAGTTCCAAAGAACGAGGCCGTCGATACGACCCACGATATTTTTGTGGCAAAGTTCAATGCGGAAACTGGCGTCAGGGAATTTCTGCGACAAATCGATTCGCATCGGGACGATGAACTCATTGGAATGACAATCACACCTTCCAATCAAAATCTTCTACTTTCAGCGAATGCCAGAGATTTTGCTACTGGCGAAACTATAATATTCACCATGGACATGGACAGCGAGGGGAATTACGATTGGGAGAAGTTGGCACCTAATATTGATCCAATTACTGGAGCCAGTATTGCAAGTTCGGCTTCGGACTCCAATGAAGAGGATAATTCCGATGATTGGCTCGTTGCTGTTGCGATCGCTGTACCCGTTATCATTCTTTTGGCTATCACCTGTTACTATTTCGCTTGCTTGAGTGCGGCACAAGTACCTTTGGATTATCCGGACAATCCAACTCACGGGAATGCCGCACAAGATACCGAGCTGCAGATTGTCGGGGAGAGCGCGACTGTCGTATAACAGAGTTGACTCATTCTTCATGATGGTTAATCTTGTAATTTGTTTCAGTGAGGCCACGATTTGTCAGTGGTATCAGATGAGCTTTTGGAGTCAACCTTGTTTGTCATGTATATGTGTAATCTCTGGCAGACTTGCTACGTTTTGGTTGTCGCATGTGAATACCTTTGGGATAAGTGTAGAAAGGGGAATTTCATTTCACAATATCAGGTTTTTCCTGTCCACATCTGCCGTCCCGCTGATCTTTGTTACTAGCAATTCCCATGTGGCATTGGCAATCCACCATTTGGTATTGGGATGATCCCTTCCATGGTGTATTTGAAGTTTCGGTCTCCTTTTCCTTGATAGTATCTCGTGGTCCAAACATCGGTACTCCAGCTGCTTCCTTTGGTACCAATGAATACTTCGGCTTCAGTAGCAATGTAAAAGTTCATGACCATTGGAATGAGGGTCCCATAGTAGTTATCTTCCACTTGATCTTGTTTAGAATACCATCGTTTCATCCAACTCTCCCCACATTCGACAATGGTGGTCTTTTCAGAGTGTGGATCTTGTCCTTCGGCCATACGCCAGGCTAACGTGTCAAGGTTTTCATTGGCTAGACGTTCGTGTTCGGTCCTGTTCTTTCCGATCGCTTCTTCCATACCTTGCCTGGAGACTGCCATGAACATTCGTTCCACATGTTTCTCCGTGGTTGCGTCCTTGTTGTAGTTCCCGATGAATTCATCAACCATGTCAAAGATCTTGGCTGTCAAAATCAATATGCAGATAGCAGAGATGAAACTATGAGCAACATAGTCCTGTGCGGTCGGTTGCCGTACTATACGCAACAAAGGACTAAAGACTTACTCAAATTCATTTCCATATGCTTTCCACACATGTGTCGCATCATTTCCAACTCGACACGAGTATGAAGCGCAAAATATGGCTCCCTGCTTTCAGCATCATTCAATGATTGTTGCCTATGTCCTTCTTTTCCTTGTCGAATGCACTGGTGTGCCACATCCCGCCATTGATTGGCTGGTATCAAGGCTTGGGAAACTGAGTGAACGACAGTCGAATTGACCTCCTTTCGAATCTTGTACAAAAAGTCATTCCATAGAATACCACCCCCTCCTTTGCCTCCACCATAGACTTTGGGATGTTGGCAATGTAGGTCTAACGGAATCACACCCACTTTGCGGGGGCGTTTCAGAATCGCGCGACCCGATGTAATGGCCAAGGACAGCTTTCGCAGTGGCTTCAAGAATTCTCCTCGCTTGGCCAGCTCCAATACCATGGGTGGTGTCCTGTCACTGGGCGATGTTGGATCCAAGGCTTTTGAATATTCTTGAATGGTCGAAGCAAAGGTAGTGCTATTGTTGTCGGAGTAGGATGGGTCGTGACTCGTCGACCAGCAGTCGGCGTTGTCATCATCACTAATCGATTCGACCAACAATGGCAATTTGTTATGACTGGCATGTTCATTCCAATATTCCACATCAAAGACGTCCTTCATTCGAATCGGATAAAATATTCGTTCCGTAGTATCCTTTTCATAGGTTGTGCTGAAGTAAATGCTGGGCAATAGCATCTGTGGAATTTGTTCCTGAATGGCATGCCGGACGAAGGAAGTGAATCGCATGACTTGATTGCGATAGCCACCAATAAGTCCTGGTGGATACAACAATGCCAATGTTTCAATTCTAGAAGCAGTGTCGTGTGCTTTCCTTGTATTCGATGGGATTGGGTGTTGGTTGGCGATGACAGACAAGGAAGAATCGTCAACCGATTGTATCATCGTTTCTGGTTCCTTATTGTTGGTCGTGGCGGTATTAGTCACTGTCGTTTCTTCAGCCTTCATAATCCTCCCAATGTGAGGAATATCCTCAAGCTGTGAATAGTCATAGGACAATGAGACCAACCGCAGATTGGGAGACTTGAGAATCCCAATGATGGTGAGGAACACCAATGCAAGAAAGAGCAATTTGAGCACTGTAGTAGTGTGATGAGATTTTCCTTTGGCGTAAGGTGTTGTCGATCGGCCACCTTGCAGCCGAATGGACATGCTCTTGCTCGTATAATACTACACAATAAGCCACCCCAACTTTTCATACACAAGGTGCTATGCGGGTTTTGGTTTGTCGTTCTTAAAATATTGCGGTTTTCAAATTGCATCATTTTCGACTAGGGCGACCGCAACTGAGTGTTAGGACGAAGAGACAGACAGACAGACTATATCTGTTCTGACTTTCAACTTATTTTATTCGCATTCGGATTTCAACATTCTTTTCACATTCCATTATCATTTTTATGTCACCAAATCACATCACTGCATACCCGGTATGCTGCAGTTCCCGTCGCGCAATTTTTATACCGAACTCTCCTATAATACCTCGAAACGATTGTGTTCCATCTTGCGTTCCATCTTTCCAAATACCACTTCCTTCTGATCATCATACCGGTACAAGAAACAGAAGATCAAAAGAATCAATCGAAACCATATGTGGTCGAACAAAATCGTTGCGCCACTGCTACTGAAGAGATCGACTAGTACCATCACCAGACTAGGGTACCCACGATGTTTTCTCGAACAAATTCGATCACTGGCCAGCATCACCACCACCAGCACTGTGGTTCCTCCTCAACAAGCCTCTCCCATTTTGAATGAACGGCCTCGACGTTCCCTGTTTAGTTGTCCAGGGGCTGCTCCTAAATTTATCACCAAAACCCAAACCTTAGGTGCGGATGCCGTCGTTTTGGATCTGGAAGATGGAGTCGCTTTGGAAAAGAAAAAGGATGCTCGAATTTTAGTTACGGAAACTTTGCAAAACAAAGGCGCCTCCTTTGGAAATTCCGAACTCTGTGTACGTATCAATTCATTGGATACGGGGAGACTGGCCTTGGAAGACCTTCAATCCGTCTTGCCATGCGAACGACTGGATGCCATTGTATTGCCCAAGGTGGAGAAGGCTTCCGATGTGGCTTTTGTCAGTCAAATGATGGATTCCCTATCACCGGCCAATCGTGATGTTCGGATCATTGCAGCGATCGAGTCGGCGCTAGGACTTTTGAATTTGCGAGAAATTGCGGCTACCTCCTCTGAGGGACGGCTGGATGCTCTCGTCTTTGCTTCCGAAGACTATTGCGCCGACTTGGAAGCCATACGCACGGATTCTGCTACCGAGCTTTTGTTTGCGAGGTCTCAATTGGTTACCACAGCCAAGGCATACGGATTGCAAGCCATTGATATGGTTCACATTCAATTTCGGGACTTGGAAGCTTTAGAGGACGAATGTCAACGAGGCAGGGAACTCGGGTTTACTGGGAAGCAAGCCATTCATCCAAGTCAAGTGGACACGATTCATCGGGCCTTTTCCCCTTCCAAAAAGGATGTCAACTTTGCCACTCTGGTGGTAGACGAGTACCAGAAGACGACTGCAGAAGGCCAAGGTGCATGCGTGGTGGATGGAATGGTAGTGGACTTTCCCGTTTACAAGTGGGCAGTGAAGATATTGAAACGTGCTAAAAACTCTGGTGTGAAACCTGATCTATGAGATTAAGCGGATGTAAATAAGCTGAATTTCTATTTTAAAAACAAAACATCGCATTGAAATGTCATGATATTAAAAGAGAGTAGATAGGGCTGTTTCCCAGGTGACAAAATTTATAGTTATTAGTACAGTAAATGTTAAAAATGATGCATTCAAACGCAAGCTATTGGATGAAGGATGCTTTGCGCAATGGCATGGCTGGTGGTGCTGAGTTTATTGATCCATTTTGCTTCATTTCTTTCTTTCCCTTTTTGCCTTGTTTCTTCTTCTTAGGGACGCCAAGGTGCATGCCTTTGGAACCTTTGCCAAACGATTTCTTCAATTTGTCAGATCTCGTTCGCTCGGGAGCTCGCATGGGGGATACCCTGCCATCGTTTGGATCGATGATGTCAGCGACGAAGCGTTCCAACGATAGCCTCTTTTCTGCGAGTGCTGGAAACTCAATGGATGCTGGTGCCGAGCAGAATCCGTGGTTTGGCTCAAGATTAGAAGAGTAACTGTCACACGAATCGGCAGAATCGATGCTGATAGAGCTCATCTTCCTCATAAATTGATGCCTCGGGCTCTTCGTGTTCATGGCTGTCGTTTATAATATGTCAGCTGGTGTGGCTGGTGAGTAATGTAATATTTGTCTGATGTTTTGATTTTATGAAATGAAGAATCAGTCAATCGTAGCAGCGAAAGTGTCAGTAGCAAACACAGATCACAGTGGTGCTTTTATGAGTGAGGGCGTCGTATTCCAGGCATTGGAATAGGTTTACGAGTACCACAGGTTAGGATTCTGTTCATGTTCTCTTCATTATATGAGGTTCGTTATGATGAGTTCGGTTTCGGGATGAGATTTTTATTTATGATACTTCGCCGGTGTTCTCTTCTGATAAAACCTTTGGGTTGGGGCGTTCAATGAATCCTTCTGTGAAAAGAAGTCCCATAAATACATACCCTGTTCTTTACATCGAATTCCGCCCACAAGGTTGCATTTCCAAGGTGCATTGCGAAAGGTTCGTGTTTTGTACACGGCGGGACCTTTCATTGTAATACCGCAGGATCATGGGTTACAAAAAAGCCATAAAATATCAAGAGTGACAAATGTACAGAGAGCAAGTTTTGTCTATTTCAGGATTGATATTACGCACTTGTGTGGGTTGCGGTGCTATCAGGTGGCGAAGAAGCTCTTCTAAAACACAAACAAGAAAAGGGTGTGTTCCAATTTGCTGCGAGAAGAAGCGCTACTGGTCATTATACACGTATGTGACTCATGGAAGAATATGAAGTACTACAGTAACGAATGTTATTCGGTTGTCGTGTAATACTGCCGGGAAACACCAATTGAAAATACAAGAATGGGACGAAATAGATATCCCGACTCTGCACCTCAGTGGGAACTACAATTCAACAAGAAGCCCACCTGATATGTTAGTTCTCGTTCACCTTACTACTCGTGTTGAGCAAGAATAAGACTGGAAACGAAGTTCAAATGTAAGGGGGAGGAAGAAAATTGTTCTGCATCCTAGCCTTCCCAACCGCTGCCAAGATCGCCTTTCCAGCCTCTACGCTCGGCGTAGCTGGCACACGAGGAATCATCATCTATGAGACAGGTATAGTTTGGTAAGCCATGATACAATTTAATCCTGTACATTAATCATCACATGCTCCATGACGATTCACTTGAATCATAAACAAATCTCAATCAAAATGTGGTTCCGTCACTTCCTATCCATTCTCGGCTCCATTGTAAACATTGAGATTCAGCTGAGTGATCTCAATGGATTTCCTTGTCAATTGCTAATATCCAGAAAGTAAATCAACGGTTCAAAATTGTATCAAATTCAGAAAGTGATCATTCAGATGGATACGTTATTGCCCAAACCAACTCCCCGCCTTAATTAGTTGCATGCGTTCCCATGTACATTAGCAAGTTTTCGTCTTCCGATGTGAAATGCTCCTTCAATGGACGTGGCTTGTAAAGACTGGCAAAATGTGTCATATTCTCCTTGACAAATGTAATTTCATGTTCTGTCAAATACTTTGCCCAGTCAACTACCAAATCTGCACTTGAAAAGGTATCAAAGTGACTAATCTGCTGAATGTTCCAATCTGATTTATTGGATGGGTTTCCATCAATGTACCAGTGTAACCGACGTCCCTGCAGCTTGGCAAAGATGGTATTCCTTAAAACTGTTTTGCTCTTGGGCGCATCCGGAAAGGATCCCCAATCTTGTGCTTCCTTAAACAATGGCGACAGCACCATAATCTGACAGTCTACATTCGCCCTGCACATGAAGGTATCCCATATACGGCTGTGCAAGGCTTCGTCTACCACCAATTGTGCCCTCAATATCAGTCCTTGCGAGCCTAGACTTTGTCCTCCTCCCACACGATGGCCACTTTTGAGTCTGTCCGCCAAGAAATTCATGGCAGCGCAAACTCGGTCCACCTTTTCTTTCGGAACATCAAAGACTATGAATTCAGGATGTGAATATAATTCATATAAACCTTCCGTATAAACAAAGCCATATTCTTTTACTGGAAAGACAAAATTCACCCAGTGATGCCCTGCCTCTAGCGGTGTTTGACAGGCAGCGTCAGCTGCTCCTTGGGTATGTTCTTCAACTTGTGGTTCATCCATATGGGTCATCATTCTTAGGTTTTCAGGTGCTTAATGGTTGTCTTTGTCGTTTTTTCTTTTGGTCTTCAGTCAAGTGATCTCTATTGTACTGATGATGAATGTCTCATGTATATTGCGTTGTTCCTATCTCATGAGGTTGAGCAGATCTGGAATGTTTGCTAGTGTGCTGCGGTACCACCTCTTTTGTTGGACGTCAAAAAGGTCACGGCAATGCAGCATCGCAGAGTGCACAGAACGTGCGAAACGTTTGTTTACTTACTCCCTTTCGCTTTGTGTGGCGTCGTCCGAGCATGGCATCTCGTGGACATGTACCAAAACTCTCGTAGAATATACAGTAAGGGTTGTTGTTCCATTCTTGCAAGACATTTTCACATAGCCGGTGACTGTCACAATGACAGTCGAGTCAAAGAAGCTTTCAAAGTACTATGTTGACTCAAACGAATAACTTTACTTTTTGGTTGCATGAGAACATGAGAAAGAAGCTAAAAGAAAGAGTGCACTGAAGGCGACTATTCGTACAATGTTTGATGAAGAATACCTCATTGTTCACGTGGGAATAGAACGGCTCCTTGTTGCTTTGAAGAAAGAAAAAAAAAGTGGGTTCACCCTTCGTTCTTCTTGCCCGGCCTTTGTTGCTGCCTGGAGCTGCTGGTGGTGGCTGGTGGCTGTGTTCGCAATTTGCTCTTGACCTTGCTGCTCCTTGAAACTCACTACTGCAAGATACCAGCATATTGAATATGTGGACTTTCGAAATAGACCCTTTGCTGGTGTGCTGACGTAGAATGTTCAGCATGGCTATCCTACCAATACAAACCCCAAAGTCTGTTAGCATGTGCCAGCCAAACCCTCCAGCCGCACTATGGGAAAATTGTTCGTGACTGACAAACCGTGACAAAAAATGGCGAGCTTACAAGATCCAAGAAACCTGGAACCGAAACTTGGGCGACAGAATCCACACACACGGCACAATTGCTTCACACAAAACCATACATCACAAGACGTTTGAATCATAAGGACTTGTGTGTAAGGGACATCAAAACATAGTCATCAATACTTTCAATTGCTAGAGCACGGACACAATCAAGATTGAATCAAGCCAAACAACAAGAAGATACCTTCACAATGAAAACATCAACATCACGATCAAAATTTCTTTTATGGCCACTTCTGGCCTCGACCACTGCTGTCGGTAAAGTTATTCATTCCGGGGGAAGTGGCGGTGTCGCAACAGGTGTGACACGGGACCCGAAAACTGGTGATTTGGTCGTTGTCGGAACGATTTACGAGGAATCCTTTTGGGACATGGACGCGGCCAATGGCAAGCCAACTTCGTGTTTCATGGTGACTGGAAACTTCACCAAGGCTCACTTTGAACGTCAAGCAGTCCATACACCAGAACTGTGCTTTGGAGATGTTGTCGTGGTCGACCAAGGAGACTTGCAAAGTCAATCTGTCGTTACCGGAACTTCGGCGGGCATGTCAGATTTGGTCACATTGTATGACTACGAACATTTGGAGCACACCTATGCCCTTTCCAAGGAATACTACCCCGTGACCATGAGTCATAATGAGGGAGACAAGGTCATTGTTGGCTTTCACCAATACAAGGGTCTGCCCTTTGAGGGAGATGTCGGGAATGAACAGGGATTGAACCTTAACGACTTGATCAAGTTCTGGGATCGCCTGAAAACTCCCAATCACATGACATCTACAGTAAGTCGATTGACCAAGATGAGCACCAACACTGGACGTGTGCATTTTGACAAGCACCTCAAAACACATTTTGGTGTCACAACGATTGCCAAGATTGTGCACCTGAAACATCAAAATCGATTTATGGTGGCAGGATCTACCACTGGAAGTGGAGAACACATTGGCGCCTACCCCCGAGACAAAATTGATTGGGACGGTTACGTTGCTATCTTCGATGAAACGACTGGAGAAATTGTCTTTGGAGGAGCTGATAATCGCATTCAGTCTGAGGAGGAAGCTGATGACTTTGTCCATTCGATCTGTACCCACAAGGAATATGTCTTCATTGTCGGTGTGACTGAAGGTACCATAGCCGATGACGCTGAACAGCAAGGCGGAGCATTTGTGATAAAGATGGACACCAAGACTCTTGAAGTCAAGTGGAAGAAGCAAATCCAAGGATCCTATGATAACCTTCGGTGTGAAGCTCACTATCGCGGAGTCTTTGTTGGTGGCATGCAAATGGTGAAGGAAGCCGAGACTGGTAAAATCGTAAGCGATGTCTTTGTGAGCCGGTTTGATTACACTGGAGATCAGATGTGGGCTCAAAAGCTAGATTCCGAACTGGTCACCCACGAGCGGGGAGACGACGTCTTGGTGGACTTGGATGTCAGCCACGACGGCAAAGAATTGATTGCCTTGATGAATACACGAGTACTTCACCGTGGCGAGAACAAAGTCATGTTGGTCGACATTGATATTCACACTGGCGAGAGTGACCTATCTCGTGACATTATCTTGACAGCTCAACAAGTCGACATCATCAGCGACGATAGCAACACCGGGCATTTGCAAGTTTTCTGGTGGTTGAGTGCTGTATGTGGGGCTGGTCTGTTGTTTCTTCTCAATGGCAAGAGACGGCAATACATGAGAGAGAAGCATGCTCGAGATAAAGCCTTGGCCGAATGTGACTACGAGAACAACTTGAAGAAGTGGATGGATGATGACGAAATTTTTGATTACGATCAAGATGGCTTGTACCGATCCGAATTAGCCGATAAGAAACATCTCAAGTTGAAGCCCAACGTCAGGGGGGACCTCCGTGGCTTTGGCGCCGGACTAATGAGTTCTGCAGACAGAAGATTCTACGATGTGGAAATGTATTAATATAAGATATCAGCATGTATAATAAATAGTTTTCATTAAGACCAGTTCCATGATAATAATCTACAGTATCTTATGGTGCAGGTGTACATATTATCTTGAATCCATATATTTTCGAGCAGGACCATACCGCGTAAATAATGTCGCGCGATGATGGTCATCGTAGCCTATATATCATAAAATATATACCGTAGGTATGATCTACCATATTGTCGGAAGCACAGCAGTACAACATAAACTGCTGTCTATCTCATGTGACACTAGAACCTTTTTGTCATGAAAACAGTGATTCAGAGAGAAAGCAGCTATCATAGTCTCCCGCATCGACCTTCAATAGAAGACAATGAAACAAGGTGCCATCAAATTCTGGAGTGCAGGAGACAAATCAACAGCTGGCAAGACAAATTGAAAAGATTGCTCGTTGAGCAAGAGAGGTATTGCAAGTTGACAAAGCTGAAGTGTGCTGGGCTTGAGATCCATACTACCTGGAGCGACCTATCGTGGAGTGAAAAACAAGACAAAGACTTTATTCTTGTTGCTCTCGAGTCGAATGAGCTGCCTCACGAGTTGAAGAGCTTTGATGAAGATGTCTTTCCATTGCATATTCGGACTGACCCAGAAATATTCATGGCAAGAGTTCACCATGAGTGCTTTGAGAGAGCATTTCGCACTGCAGGATTTGTTGTGCCTGCCCCACTTTGCGACGACAAAAGCATCATGTTGGAAGTTGTGCAGCGCCAGCCCTTAGTTGTCAAGTCCATGCCGGGACACTGGAGGGATGATAAAGACATATTTCGACATGTTCTCAAAAGCCGTGAACTGCCGTCTGAGCTGTTGCAATTTTTCTCCAAAGATATCCGGTCAGACGCAGAGCTTATGCTTGCGTTATTTCAGCATCAAGAGAGTCAGCTTTCTTGGATGAGGGATTGTTCTGAAAGATTGCTAGATGACAAGGACTTTTTAATCAATGCCGTAAAGAGCTTTCGCAGTCAATCTAACGAGGACGTGGAGGAAAGGCAGTATGAGTTACAAATCCACAACGAAAGGCCTGAGAATCAATCATTAATGTATGCATCTCAACGACTGCGAAGCGATTTCGACGTCGTTATGGGCTGTGTCCAACAACTGGGTTTGAATCTTCATCATGCATCTGGTGATCTTCGGCGAAACGAGAAGATCGTGATGGCAGCTTGCGCACAGAATAGCAAAGCATCAGATCACAGTCGAAAGTGTGGTGTACCAGCGGACGTGGAGAGGGACCTCCTGATGGAATATCAAGAGTTCGCAAAAAGCATCATCAAAGGAGCTTCTACTGAAAGCCTCAAGTTATGTCTCGACAAATATGGAGGCGACGAAAGTTTCTGTTTGCACTCAATTTCTAATAGAAATTTGGAATGGTCAATGATACCAGAGGTATTTCGATCCGATGCAAATTTTGTTGCGAAGACAGCTGCATCTCTGTCAAGGCGATTATGGGAAGCTCTTCCCCTCGAGATGAAAACCAATATCCAAGTCGCATCTGCAGTTGTAAAGAGGGGATATATTGACCGTACCATCATTTGGGATGTCGTTCACAAGTGCCCTGAGGTTCTGTCAGACCGCAACTTGGTAATGGAACTGATTGCAAGACATTGTTTTTATACCGACTTGCATCCACTGATAGTTGCGAACTCAGTCATTGACATCCGAAATGATAAGGCCCTCATGCTTTACGCTATCAAGCACCAACCGCGTTTTTGGGAATACTGCTCCGACGAACTTCGAGGTGATAGGGACATTTTGATGGCGGTCGCCAAAAAATCCGCTGCTTCATTGCATATCGTGTCAAGTACCCACCAACTGGACCATCCCGAATTTGTTGCTTGCGCGATTCGAAATCATAGGGCAATGAATATATTCTCCCATCAGAGACCTATGTACAAAGACATTCGGAGAGAAATGTGGCATAATCGAGCAGTTGCCATGGCATGGTTAGAATCCGGAGGAGAATGGATGGGTTTGGCTTTTCCACCGTATTTCACGGAAGACAAGGCGATAATTGTTACCGCGACAAAGCATTTCTGGATTCAATTTCAGTGGGCATCCGATATGCTGAAGAGTGACAAAGCTTTTGTGATTCAGGCGTTGGCAGTTGATGCACGGATTATTCGATATATCTCCAAAGAGCTTTTGTTTGACAGGGACGTTATGATGGCAGCATTCAGTAGGGATGTTCGAGCTATTGAATTTTACGCAGAATGCGACGAACAGTCGTTTGCTTTCCTCGTATCTTTTGCTCAGAAAATACGAGAAAGACTTCGGGAAAGTCGAACCTTCCAAGATGACTTTATTGAAGCAGCAAAGTGCCCTTCACCAGAGAATGTTGATTGCAACCTTCCGATGCTTAATCAAGGGCCTGTTATGCTAGCAACGTATGAAGATAAGATTGCATCGTATGCTGGAATACTGCATGAAGAGGAGCTTTTACAATATGAGGCTACATCTCAGCACTTGGCTGCATGGGGCATGTGAAATTTGTTGCTTGCTTGCCACATACATCTGCAAATGGGTGATTGGTATCGTCGTCGCCATCTAGTCATTTAAAGATGAGGCGTTTTAAAACCAGATGATACCGAACCTTTTGTTGAAATTTGCGGTTCCACGTCGTTGCTTTCGGTGGTCCCATTGGAGTCCTCTGCCACCAAGGCTCTACTTTTGTTGTCCGGTGCATCCGTTTCTTCTTCAGAGGCTTCGCGTTGACGACGGCGGCGGCGACGACGAATGCAACAATAGACTGCAAGGGCTATGACTGACACCAAAGCTACAGAACCCCCAGCGATAGCAGCTGTAAAGTCAGCAGGTGCTGTACAGGTGCACGTGCCAGTCGAAGTCACATTCTCGATCGCCATCATCCCTAGATCCTCGTGAATCAACTTGTGGCAATGGACCATTATTTTCCCCGTATACTCGGTTGGAACATACCTTATAACACCATTTCCCATCACGGTGTCGTGCCAGTCTCCAACTTGGTCGTATCCGTCGAAGCCAGAGACAAGTTGATAGGGATACACGTGTTGATGATATGGGTGGTCATCAACATCTAAGGTCCGTTCCACAACTGCTCCAATGTAAGAGGTATGAAGAATTTGGTTCGTGGCATATGGCATATTGTTGACCAAGGTTCCGAACATTTGAGTGGTACACCCACAACCTGGACTAGCAGCAACTCCTCGCAAATCGGTCAAATACTCGGGATAATCTGGAACCCAGGGCTCGAGCTTGCTGGAACCTACCGCAGAATCTGAAGTCGTGACGATGGAGGCCATGGGACTACCGAGTCCGGTGATATCGTAGGTCCTGGATGGTTCCAGACAACGGACCATAATGTCAGCTCGACCACCAGGAACGATGGGAGCGAATCCAATCGACCTTGGAAAGTCACGAATGTATATGCCATCCTTGGCTAATAGCTGCATTTCACAGCCGTCGATCCGCATATCCAGGCTGCCTTCAAAGAAATTGTTCCAAATGACTCGAAATCGCATCCATTCTCCAGCTCGTGTAGAAATGGTGGGATTGAGCTGGCCGTTGATCGTGATGAAATCCCCTGGAGGAGTGTTGGTCATCCCAAAGAGTGGGTCGCTGGATGCCCGAGTGATCGCTGCAAACTCACCAATGTTCATGTAATGAGCGACGAGAATAATTTCAGTAGCATCTTCCACCTGCTGAGGCAGACTTCCAGGCTCGTCCTCCACGATAATGGCTGACAGTGCTCCACCGCCAACCTGGAGGGTGGTACTGCCGTGGCGATGGGGATGCATCCAAAATGTCCCTGGCATATGATCGTCGGGCAAGGTGGTGGTGTAATTGTAGAATTCGCCAGGCTCTACAAAGTATGTCACGTCATCACTTGGCAGCTCTCCACTTACTATAATGACAAAGGTTCTTGTAAGATAACGAAGGCGGCGAGTTTGTTGGGGAGGAATAAAAGGCAAGGTGGCACTTACCATGGAGTCCATGAAAGTGCAAGTTGGATTCGTCAGCTGCCGAATATTGGTTGTGAACATATCCCAGGCCTTGGGACTCCAGATTGTTTTCGAAGTCGATCTTCAAGGTATCTCCTGGCTTGATTCGAAGTGTGTGTCCTGGAAAGCCTCCATTCAATAGTCGCGAGCGAAGTTCCATATTGCTATTGCCAATGTTGACAGTTCCATATTCCAATGAAATGGTCGTCTGGAGAGTCCCATTGGCGCTGAAGATTGCCTGTGGTTGGGTAAGTGACATTAGGGTGTAGACAAAAGCAACTGATGTTGATTCAAATTGCCAAATCGATAGTTTGTGGTTCTATAAAAGGCATATGGATGGAAATTGGGCTTTCAGTCACGGAATGTCAGTCTTGACTGGTTCGCGAACTTCTTCGACGCTCAAGACTGCTCATTCATCACGAATGAATCAACAAAGGAATGCAAGAAGCTTTATATCATAGGCAGCAAATTTTGTCCTACCACCGGAAGTCGAATCATTGCTCTTCTCATGAGAATCACACGATATTTTAGAGAATAGAAACTTTTGCATTAGAGAATTTCCCACATGCGTTTTATGAACCGGTATGCTACAGTATGGCAATGGCTTGAAAATTGAAAAGTTTCCCCCCCATAATTGCAGGAGTTTTGAGTCTACTTGTATCCCCCGTTTGATTGTCTCAGAATTGTCAACTGTCACCACGCGCATGCTCGTTACAGATTTCTCAAAGCATCACTGCGGCGTTCTGCACATCACTACAGTATCATACCGGTACCTCCCAGCGAAACAAGAATATGGACAGACTCGGTTCCTTCACGTATCATAAGGGTCGGTTTTAAAATTCGTTTGAAAGGTATTTTTAAAAATAAATAATGTGCTGCTGGTGTTGGGTTTTGGAATGCATTTGGAAGGACAAGGACATCCGAAACATCTGTATTTTAGGTCTCCTAACGATTCTATTCATTGGAGTGGCTGTCTTTGTCACCTCAACGCTGGTTCCACCCTGTTGCTGTTTTGATCCCAATCGGAAGACATCAAGTTGCCCAGATTGCGATTTCTGTGGTCTCGACGAGGCACCCGGCGAGTTCAAAGACGATCTGTATTGCCAAGATGGGCATGATTGGTCCTTTACGTGTCACTCCCCAGCCGAGGCAGCTGCGTTTGGCGTTTTATTAGTTCTAGGATGTATCACATTGAGCGTGGGATCACTGATATCCCACCGTCGTTTCGGAAATTCCAGCTCTGCCAACGGTCGACGTGGAGATTCCGGTGGCGATGCCGGGGGCAATGATTGTGATTGATAGGAATTAATTAAAGGCTATCTCGAATAGTAGATAGCTCCTGAAATCTTTACATCAGGCTTCTTTCGAAACGACAGAACGATCAGTTCAGGCAGTGACGATGTGTTTACCAAGAGGAATAGGACTACTTCGAATTTACGGCAAGTCTAGCTACTCTAATCGAGAATGGTAGAAACTTGTGAAACGAGGACTCGAGTGCTGTCAGTCGGATTTGCTTCATGTCAACACGGCCGAATTCGAATCCATGAAATGTGACCATTCTATCATCGATATCTTAGTCGAGAGAAACTGCCCATGAGAATAGATCCATAGGCACCATCATGTCGTTGCCAAATGTAGTGTACAAATGTGGAATTCTTCTAAATTTTTCAGTTATCAGACCTTTGATCTTATCAAGTGCTGCCCGGCCTAATCACTTTGTGCTCCTCCTAGCTGCTATCTGTTTCATTTGCAGCGCTATTATCAAATAATGACAAGACCAATATCCAGTTGTACCGTTCTACCTAGCAGAAGAACTGGTCAAATGGGCATCACTTCCACCAAAGAGTGTGCTCAGCACATACGCCTGACTCAATAGCATTTCCACCTCTGTCTCGCCCCAATTCTCAGTAGGTACATCCTGCATAAAGGCAAAGAGCTTTTCAAAATCCATAGCCTGCAATTGCGCACTGAATTGACACAAAAAAGCTGCACAGACGTAGACATGAAAATCCTCAAAACCATCTTCCGAAATGTAGGTATCCCACAACCGAATGACGCATTTGAGGTTGAATTCTCGCAACAACAGACAATTCATCCACTTGAAGGAAAATTGAATGAACTGAATGCCCACATCCATCAAGTGTTCCGCAAGGTTCCCATCGATACGGGTGATCAATTCTTCCAACCGCATGACCATTCGCTGGACACCTGGTTGGTCTGCTGTGTAATGATCTTGAATCTTGGCCAATATATTCGTCAAACACCAATAGACATCTGCTTCCACCTGTGTGTCATAAAATTAGTAATCATAATGTTGATTATAATCATGAGAGAAAAGCATACGATGCATGAGTTAACAAGTTCCCAACTCCATCGGTACACAACACACAAAGTTCGCCAACTTACTTCGTCCAAACTCTCTTCGGAAAGCAAAACCATGACATTCCCATCCAGAACATCATCTCCTTCATAATAGTCCGACAAAAATACGGCAATCAGAGGCGTCGCCAAATCATTAATGCCTTGCACATATGACGAAGCTGGATGCCGCATGGCCCAGATGTACAACAGACGACCCAAAATTCGTTTGATCCGTTCGTTCCGAAAGAGGGCAATTTCGGGTGCCGTCCTGGGGACATCCACCAAGACTTGCCTCAGAGTTTCTTGTTCTTGCAAGGTCCGAGCATTGTCATCAATGTCGTAGTGTTGCGCAATGGCATCCTTGTATTCCATGCGTTTTCTCTTCAACGTATTGGCCCGTCGACTTGCATTGGTGGGCAAATAACCCAACATGATTTTCCAGGCCATGCCTCGGAATTCACGCTAAAATGTATGTAGAAAACAAGAAGGACAATGTGAGATGGCATTATCATATACTTTAAACGAAAAAAAATGATCGAACAGTGAACAATTGAACCCAATTGAATCCAATCTAACAATATAATACGACAGGACGTACCGGTACTCCATTCCAACTCAGTTTGCACAGTTCCGACATTTTGATGTTTTCATCCGCAATGATTACGTCGAATTTGGACTCCCGATAGCTTAACTTTCGGTCCAAGGGACGATTGAAATGGGCCGAAGAAGAGGACAAGACAGGAGTACTGCTGCGGGATGCGGCGCGTTTGGCTGGCTTGGTAGGAGGCGCTGTAAAGTTTGCGCTATCGTTGCTACTGCTGCTTCTGACTAGAGAGGAAGAACTCCTGGAAGCAGTTGCAGTTCCATTGGACATGAAGCTGTCTCGTGTCTCCTCGTCTTTTGGATCATCGGAATCTTGCAGTGACGTTGTTTTCTTGCCATTTCCTCCGGAACTTGCCGATTCGGAAGCATCATCTTTGCTTCCGCTAATATTTTTTGTTGCGTCAGACGACTTCACTTGCTTTCCATTTGTCTTTTGTGAAGCATTATTGTTCTTCTTTCCCTTGCCTTGAGATTCATCATCATCATCCGTTGTGAAGTAATCCTCTTCCTCTGAATCCTGGTAGTCACGCCGTCTGGTTCGACGCAAGAATCCGGGAAGTCGCTTTCCTGACATTTTCCTGCTTAGATGAAAGCTAAAACGGAGAGCCAAAATCCCAATCTGGAGATGGTTGACAACAATGACAAGGCGATATGTAATATGAAAATGAAAAAATTCTCGTCAGGTTTCCTCGTCTGCTTGCGTTCTCGTCCGTCAAAATCCTTCGAATGACCTTGATGACTCGGAATTCTGGGTGGAGGGACGGACGGCAGTGTTACCAGGCAGGACCGGTCTGGAACGGCTGGGAAAATCAATATTATTAGTACTCTTAAGGATTGTATGCTAAATTTCTATTTCCCGGCCGTCCCCTAGTTCAAAGTGATAAAACGCGATCTAAATGCAAAACAGACGGCCGGCCGGCTACTCAATCATGTGATTGATTGATTCATCCGATTGCCTGACGATGACTTCCTCACTCACTGGAATTTTACATCATCCACTCAATAAAACCGCATATGTATATGACGACTTCAACAAACCAATCATCACCAACTCACTTATTGCTGAAACATACGCATAGATGACAAGTCAGGATGTTGAAACAAGCCTTATTTTGTTTGGACGTCATTGGTCTCATTGATTCCATCAGTTACATGGCGGTGTCTCCCTCTCTTATTTTCTATGTTTTGCAACTTGGAGGCACCACGAAAGACTACGGTTGGATCATGTCCGTCTTCAGTTTTGCTTCGTTTTGCGGGAAACCAGCGTATGGAGCTTGGGTCGACAAGGGAGGTAATAAGTTTCGGGTCCCATACTTGTCCAGTCTGGTGGTGTCAGTGATTGGTGCTCTACTGTATTTCTTGGCGGTGACAGTGACAGATCCCAGAATCGCCGTGGGCATGATTTTTGTGGGACGGTTTCTCAGTGGAATTGGTGCCGCCAATCAAGCATTGGGATATGCCTATCTGGCATCAATAGTCCCTCCGGAAATGCAAACGCGGACTGCTACCATGATTACCGTAGTGCGAATTGTGGGAATGGTGGTGGGTCCGGGAATTAATTACTTTTTGGATTCGGTCCATGGCCAAGTGTTTGGAGTTCCAGTGGGTCCTTTGAACTCCGTTGGATTGCTGCTAGCGATCGGCTACTTTGTTGCGGCGCTCGTTGTGTACTTTATCATGCCGGAACCACCAGAAAAGGACAACACGGTCAAGCTACCCGAAGCATTCGATGCAGGATCTTCTGATTCGGCAAATTTTTGGATAGCTTGCCTGTCAATAGACATTTTGCTTCCAACCTTTATTTTGTTTGCGGCCAATTCTGCCTTTCAGCTCATTGAAACGGCATTGCCTCCGGCTGCCAGTCACGGATTGAGATGGGGTCCATCGGAAGCCTCGGCAGTCTTGGGTGCCGTTTCCATTGCCATTTTTGGGGTCATGGGTGTTGTCATGTTTATGTCCACAAGCGGGGTTTCGGATACCAAATTGGTCGCAGCAGGCAATTTGCTTTTCCTGGTCGGTGGAGTCTCAATATACCTAATGTGGACCGATGTTGCCAACGCCTGGCAATACATTCTCCCAGTCATGATATCAATTTCTGGCTTTCCCTTTATCGCATCTCCCAACCGATCCAACTTCACCAAGGCGGTCATGGATCGACCAGTCTTGGAGTCTAATCAAGCTACCATGCACGCCATTTTGTCCATGTTTCACAGCGTGGCGGGATTTACGTAAGTTGCACGGCAGCATCAGCCTACAGTATGAGGTTCTAATACCATATGATGTCGCCTATGATATAACTTACTTTGGTTTCCTTCCAACAGTACCCCTGGATTTGTCGCCGCCTATGTCATTCGATCACCCCAACAAGTCGATGCTTCTGCTGACAATCGCGAGTTGACATCCTTGGCACTCTATGCTCCCGTATTATGTGCTTTGAGTCTGGTCGGTTTGTATTATATAGCGTGGAAGGAAGGCAAAGAAAGAGAAGAAGTCATTGGAGAGGGTACTCCACTGGTGGGCAGGGGTAGCGGTAGGGGTAGCGGCAGGGCGAGTAGGAAATCTACTGCAGCGGGACTGAATCAAGCTTTTAGGCGATCTGCTGTAGTGGACCGTCGTGCTTCGACGGAAATCATGGGATTGGCGGTCGGTTTTGATACGCTTGCTGAAAAAGAAATGAAAAACAACCAATTGGCGGACTGGGAAGAATTGAAAACGCTGTTCGAATTGGACGACTCCTACCGGTATGAATATCCTAGTCCTGTATCTTCACCTAGCCCTAGGACTAAAGCAAAAGCGTAGTTTGGAAGAAGAGTATAATATTGGCCTTTGGATCATAGTTTCTCCTCAATCACATCACTCATCACTGATAACTGATAACTGATAACAATCATGACTCAAACCGTATGTCTGCCTGAATTTCTCGAATCGTGTTTGGACTAGTTCGACTAAGCTTGACACTACCACTACCGGTATTGAGTATTCTTCTTCTTCTCCGCTTTTCTAGCGATGAAAAATGCCGACGAAACGCGCCGCTTTTTGGAAACGAACCTCCAATCCTTTGGTGTTGGCTGTATTATACTGTAATAATCTGCTTGTCTCTGGCAGTAGTAGTACTGCACCAGTTTACATCAAGACCGCCATCATTATTGATTGCAATGACTATTGAATCCTCCTACCACTCGACTTCCAATCGTCGCAAGCGTAGTCGCGAGGAAGTTTCTCCATCCGCTTACCATCATCATTGTCATCATGATAGTCATCATCATCATCATGATGATTCTTCCAATGCACCACCCACGGCAAAGACATCCAGACCAGACTGGTACTTGAATCGAATGGACCATCGTCTGCAATGGGCACTGAAGTGTTCTCGAGAAGGAAATGTACGCATGATGGACTTTTACCTGAGCCAAGCCAAGAAGGATGCTGTCGCATCTCAAAGCTACGGTGACGCCTTTTTGCAGTGGGAATCCTGGATTCGGGGACAGCTACAACAAGATTAGGACACAAGCTGTTACTGTACTGCACTGACTGTTCTGACACCAGAATCAATCTTGGCAGTATCACTTCATAGAGGACAACAAAGTGTGAAAGCTGAGCACTTCGATGAATGTGACAAGAAACATACTACTGAAACATACTATGCAACGAAAATCCGTTGCAGCAAAACTTGCATTCATTCAAAGTTTGCGATTCATAATGTATATTCTAGTTTTAATTTAGCTGAATGGTTGGGTGTCCCTTCCCCCCCTTCGTTGTCCATGCATGTTGTTTTCCAAATAAGCTAGCGATTCATTCTCACAGCATCATGTTGTTCCAACTTTGATATGCAGCACTCTCCCAATCTGTTTCATTCGCTTCGCACAACTCGTCAGCGGACAAGATAGTCATTTCCTCCGTGCTGACACTCCTTGATGATTCTTCCATCAAAGACTTGGCCCTGGTAGATGAGAGCTTCTTTTGTAGCTGTTTGCTCTTGGATCGTTGTAGCTTGGCACGCCGAGATGCAATCTTTTCCTGCTTTCGCTGTTCGACCAAGTCCCATACGGAAAGTCCATTGTGCTTGGAATCGTGGGATGACGACGAGTCTTCTATTTTATGTACAGTGCTGCTGAAGACTTTTCGCAAGGGTTTCAGCAAGTTGACAGCGTCCGTGATGAGTGCTTCGTCGACTGTAGTATCCCACAATATCGATTCAAAGACAAAGACAAAGGTGTCAAAGCCGCTTGCTCGCATTCCAGTATCAAGCAGTTTTTGGTGTCTGTTGTTGTCGTAGCGAAAAATGCGTGGTACAATAGTGAGTACTTATTCAAGCTGAGTGCTGCCATGTTGATAGTTCAGACTGTGCTTACCGTTCTTGGAAGTGGGCGGTAGGATCAAATAAGTCTGGGAGTTCTTGAAAAGCGGCATTCAGTATGTCTACCAGAGATTTGTGTAATTCTTTCAGATCGTAGTCTTGGAAATATTGAGCCAATTCATAGTGTGCCTTGATCTTGTCGCAAAATGTCGCCACTTTGAGGTAAAACTTGACCTTGCCGCCAAGTCGAGTCAAGAGATTGAGTTTGTAGTTCTCTCGGAGTCCAATTTCTGACAGATCAAAGTGGATGCTCGTTTGATTCATGTTTGGTTTTGGCATTCTTGCGGTGTGAACAGAGATCGTGAGTTGTGATGAGTGGAGATTATTCGCGACGTGAACATCAAATCGATATTTTCGCAAATGTCATTGGGATGACTGGTGCAGTTGCTCGTTTCTGTGCTTCACATTCATCGCGACCAAATCTACTTATCACACCTGCAACACGTCAGAAAATACGTGCAAAAGAATCCGGTCTCTGGCATTCCAACATTTATTATCCTGATGAAAGTCTATTACTATGTTAATTAGCTAGAGACATTGCGTAATCCTTGGCTTTTCTCCGGATTTTTAGAAAGGAGTAATATTTTCCCCCATGACGATTCACACATTATTTATTATTTGTACACAGGGACCATCTATGCCTGTTTCCAACTCCGAGATTGCACTCTGGACGTATCTGGTATCCTTCGCAGCTTCGCCAAGCGTCTCAAGCAAAACATCCAAAGATCTCTGATACATCTCCAGTGAAGCTTCCAACTTTCCTTGATCACGAAGTACTGAAGCTATACCTTTCAGTGTTTTGGCCACGGAAGAATGTCTTTCACCACGATGCTGGCGCTTTAGTTCCAAAGATTTCTGAAACATGGCGAGAGATTCGTCAAGTTTTCCTTCCTTGTGCAGAACAATTGCGATTGCATTGAAAGTGTTGGCAACGGATGGATGGTCCTCTCCGAGCAAATGCATCTTCATCTCGAGGGAATTCAATAACATGTCCATGGCTTCTACTAGTTTTCCTTCCGACTGGAGTGCTTCTCCCATATTATGCATCGTCTTGGCAATCAATGGATGCTCCTGTCCAAGTACAATCCGATCAATTTCCAAGGATTCCTGAAATAAACTCATGGCTTCCTCAAATGCACCTTGCTGCTTCTGACGAACCAACGCCATGTTGTGCAATACACGCCCCAACCCCCCGTGCTTTCTTCCGAACTTGCCTTCCAGAATCTCCAGTGCCAGATTGTAATTTTCCATTGCCTCGTCTAGTTTGTCCTGTTTCTTTTGTACCATGCCCATGAACTGGTACGATTCCGCCACCAATGGATGGTTTGGGCCATACGCCTCTTTCCGAATGGTCAATGATTTTTCCAACAGATCCATGGCCTCCTCAAATCGATCCTGTTCCCGCAACACCATCGCCATGCTGCAATATGTCTTTGCGATCGAAGAATGGTGCTCACCAAGAGCCTTCTCTTTGATATCCAATGCTTTGTGGTGCAATTCCATTGATTTGTCATACGACCCTTGTTTTTGGAACACACAAGCTAGTCCAGTGTAAGTGTTGGCAACAGACTTGTGCTCGTCTCCAAGCCGCTTTGTTTTCAATTCCAATGATTTGGTGAATAGCTCAATTGCTTCTGAGAATTTTCCTTGATCCTGGTACACTTCCGCCATGTTGTGATATGTCTTAGCGATTGCAACATGGTCTTCTCCAAGAGCCCTCGCGGAAATATCGATCGACCGCCGATACATTTCCAAAGATTCTTCGTATTTACATTGTAGATGAAGGACCAAGGCCATGTTTCCAAAGACTTCACCCACGGCCGAATGCTCGTCACCAACATTGGCTCGGATGATTCGTAGGGCATTCTTGTAGTGATCCATTGCTTCCACTAATTTTCCTTTCTTCTTGAACAACATTCCCATGTTATCCAAAGTGTTTCCTACCGACAAGTGGTCTTTGTGAAAGGCTTGTTTCTGGATCTTCAAAGTTTTCTCGTAAAGCACCATGGACTCGTCCAATTTGTCTTGATCCCTGAGCACCATGGCCATTCTCAAAAGCGTCTCTGCCACAGAAGGGTGGTTCTCTGAGCCATGTAATTGCCGCTTCATACCTAAGGATGCCTGATATAAGACCATCGCACGGTCCAATTTACCCTGGTGGACAAGAATGCCGGCAATATCATGATAGGTTTTGGCGATTGCTACATGTTGCTCTCCATACTTCTCGACTTGCAAGTCCAGCAGTTTCCGGTAGGCTCGTATTGCCATTGGAAGTTCCATCAATTGGATATGAAACAACTTTCCCAATCGCTCCAGTCGTTCTTCGTCCAAATCTTTCTCGAGCAATTCTTGCAAAAAGGCACCACCCTCTCCTCCTCCTTGACAAATCACTTTCAAATCCTCCAGCCGTTCCTCCAAAGCATTGGTCGAACCTGCAAAATAGGATCGAAAGTATTCATAATGCTTGTGACTATCAAGCTCATTTCCCAATCGTTTCAGTTCTTTGTGATGCAGCTGTATCTCACAAATGTGCTTGAAACTAATGTTGTTGACGGCTGATAACGATGATGATGATGATGATGATTCAATCGGTATTTGAATTTGCAAATTGACATCTCGATATCCCGTCAAACTAGGATTCTTGAATCGATTCTTGGCCTTTACAATGTGAATCAAGGGATGATTTTCAATGAGCTCCAAACATTGAAGAAAGTTTTTTGCCGATGAGAATTCAAGACTGCCTCGAACAATGTCGTACAAGAAACAAAGTGACGGACCAGGTAGTCGCTGTGCATAATCATCTTCCGCCTTTTCCAACGCTCGATCTCGTGTCTTGAGTGGTACCAAATGGACATCAATGTCATGACTTTTTTTCTCATCATTATCATCACATTCAGCAGCAGCAGCAGCAGCAGCAGCAGCAGAAGATTGAAGAATCTGATTCACAATTCCTTTCATCAATTGTTGATACACTGGTTGTGCCATAGCAGCAGCTTCGTACAATTCATCCAACGTTTGTGCCGGGGTTCCTTGAATGGACTGCTGCAGATATTCTGGTTTGAATTGATATGATGAATTTCTATTAGAGCCGCGGCCTTGTTCCAGAATGCCTCCGGAATGGACGCGGACTGGAAAATTCGCAATCTCCTGAGATTCCTCAAACAGTTCATTGTACTTGGCATCCATGGTTTGACGACAATTCAAATATTGTGATAGTGTGTTTAGAAAGTCCTTTGTTTCTTGGCGGAGTTCCATCGTCGTGGTGTTGTCATCATCTTCCGATGAGGAGGACGATGAAGAGGTCATTATTTCCTCCATCAAGAATGTCAAAATGGTGTTTAGTGGCTCGTTTGGATGCCTGGCTTTTGCAGGATCATCCTCATTGGAATACATATTGTCATCTATTGGTCATTCGAGTATAATTGTCCTCAGGCTTCATGAAATGCGGCGTTGGAACTGAACTTTTTTGGGTGAGACTATTATTATGGAACGTACAGTATAGAGCTGAGACTTTTGGAATGCGGACCTGTGAGATTTGATGTATACTGTAGGTCGTAGTGGTCGAGTCGAAGGAGTCCGCTTGTAGGCACCCGGAAATGACGCCGTCTTATTGAAGTGGAATCCGAGCTGAAAATGAGAAGCTTCGAAACGATGGCGATTTGTGAGGTTTTGGAATCGGAAGGAGGTTGTGAATTCCGTTGTTGTTGTTGTTGTGAGGATAGATAAAAGAGACTTGGAAACATAGCTCTTTGGGTTACCTTTCTGTTCAGTTTATCTTTGTAGGGGAGGCCTTGTCGTTGTTGGCGTTTGTGTGTGTGTTTGTGTGTGTGTGTGTGAGGAACGGACGGTTGGATCCATTGAAACATACAAGGATTTTTCACTCATCATTGGAATCAACAATAGTTGCTAGATTGGAAAAATGGAAAAGTACCGGCTCGTCAAGGGAGATATCACCAATGACTCTTCTTCCGAGACGGTTGCCCAATCTGAAATACGCATAACACAACAAGGCAAACCTAGGAATTACATTTCACGAGCCATGGATCTGTTGGTACGTATTACTTATTCAGTATATGCGGCATATTCATCAGGTGTGGATCTTTTAGGATGAAACAACATCATTGGACTAACTTGAATTGAATCCATACGATCCTTCCTTCTCTTCCCCTCCCCTACTAGGCCGGTGGTGCGGATACCGTCGTCTTGAAAGCCATGGGACGAGCCATCAACAAGGCCGTGACCATTGCGGAAATTCTCAAGCGCAAAATGCCACTTCACCAGCTCAACTCGCTCAGTTCGGTGGAGATGGTGGATGTCTTTGAGCCCTTGGAGGAAGGATTGGATACCGTCACCTCGAGGCGATATGTAAGCTGCATGAAGATTCAATTGTCGCGGAATCTGGGGGACATGCAGACAACAGACATTGGGTATCAGCCACCGCTTCCGTTGGAGGAGATGCATCCAGGAGACTTTCATCCTCTTCGAGAGGCAGCACTGATTGCTTCTTCCTAATAGGATAGGACAGGACAGGATAGGATACTACTGTGTGATACAGGGTGTACCCAACCAATGCGACTGCGACTGCGACTCTTGATCTGGCTTGATTGTGACATTCAAAAAGTAGGTACACAAAGCTTATTGAATGAATTCAATCGACAAATCAATCAATCAATCAATCTTAGGAGAAAATGATGCAACTGAAACCTTTATTTATATATTGCATTATATAAATAAACAAACACAAAATGGGGATTGGCAAAACAGAAGAAAAAAAGACTGTCAATTGCAGTTTGTAGTAGGCAACTGCAATGGAGATGTGTGATCCTTCCCCTTTTTTGCCTTTTTTTTTCTTTCCTCGCGAAAGGAGGAAAGAAAAAGTAATACAAGTTGTTATTGCTTGTGCATCAGCAAGCACTGTCACCACGGACATAGAGAAATATACCACCAATGAACGAATGAATCATTGAATAGACAGACAGACACCTGCAGCAAGCTCATAAAACTAAAGCCTTCTCCCAAGATGTACTTCGATCTCCATGTCCAAAGTTTCTCGTTTTGTGTTCCTCAAATGCCGGGGTCGTCTGTTGTACCGGCATGGGCTTCGTGTTGAGACTGGGATATTCTTCTTCAAATTGCTCTTGTTCCACTTGTTCCAATTCCTCATTGGAAACAAAGTTGTTGTCATCGTCCGAGGAACTAGCATATCCATTCACACTACTGCCACTAGCAGTCTTGTCCTTGTTTCCCATGCGACGCATCATTTGAAAGAGTCGACGGTGGGGAGAAGCACCCCGTGGTTTCATGCTGGATACCGAAGAGGTCATGAAACTGGACACGGAAGGGTTCTTGCTGTCGGCCGTTTTGGTCAAGACAGGTCGTTTTGGCACCATCGGACCAGGATCTTGATCATTTTCCTTTGGAACGGAAAGACGTTTGATAGGAATGGCCGATCGGATGCGATATTGCAACGATCCCCGTCTGGGCATGCTGCGCCGGGCACTTGGTTCGGATTGTTGTTGTTGCTCCGTTTGTTGCTCTGGTTGCCGTTGCGGCTGTGCCGTCAAGTCATTACTGTCGCTCCTTATTCTCTTTGGCGAGGATGATGACGAATTCTTTTCCACTTGATCATGGCTGTCGGTTGAAAGAGAAGAGACCTTGCGATCCAAGACAATATTCTTCTTTGGCTTGATAATGGGTGCTTGATCATTTTCCTTTGGAACTGAAAGCCGTTTGATAGGAATGGCCGATCGGATGCGGTATTGCAAGGAACCACGTCTTGGCATGCGCCGTATCGGTCGCTCGGCTGCAGCAGCATCTTGGGCTTGGGAGAAGGAAAAAGATCCAGTTGGTGGTTTTCTACTCTCTGGAGTATTGTTCCTGTTTGGACTTTTGCTGCTATTGGATTGCTTACTGCGGCTTCTTGCCCTCCGACTAGAAGCTGGTTCGCCGCCGATATTCTTTGCATGTCCATCTGTAAAAGACGATTCCTCGCTGCTTTCGGATGCCGAGTTCTTGCGGTCCAATGATGCTTTGTCCAACGATTTCTTTCTTACCAACGGACCGGGATCCCTGTCGTTTTCTTTCGGGACCGAGATCCTCCGAATGGGAATCACAGAGGAGATGCGGTATTGTAGGGAACCCCGCCTTGCACGTCGTATACGTGGCTCGGAAGGAGCAATAACTTGGCCTCTATCCTCCGAATTGTGTGATGGGCTGTTACTAGTCCGTTGATGTCTCGTCGTCCTTCTGCCTTTTGATCCTCTGCTCCAACTTCTAATCTTGGGAGTTGCATGATTGTGACTTGCATTGTGAATTTGAACTTCCACTTCTTCTGGTTCGTCTTGTACCATGGAATCGGCAATCTTCTTGGCCCGCGTTTGCATTTTCTCATCTTCAAAGAAGGCTCTCAATGTCGAAATATATTCCACCGTGTCTTCCACCACTTCAGCAGGTATTGGTTCATCGCAAAGGGCATTTCGAAAGGCCTGAATCATCAAATCAAATTCTTCTGGACCCATTCCACTGGACAATTGGTGATATTGACTGTATAGAATAATGTGATAATGACAAATAATGGCAAGTAATGGTAAGCAAATGGAAGGAGTGAGAACATTCTATAGGTTCCGAAAGAACACAACTCTGACATCATTATCATCATCCACCTGAGGTGAGAATGAAAACGTACGTAATGGCCACATGTTGCTTCAGATCAAAGCCTCGGGGGAAGATCTTGAGCAGGGCAGCGTTGAAAAAGTCAATCATCAGCAGTCTCAGGTCTTCCAATTTGTAGGTCCCGTAAAACTTGGCAAGCTGTGGGTCGTTTTGCAAGTGAATGCAAAAGGTGGTCATAATGGCAAAAACATCTTCTTTTCCTCCTAATCGCATGAGAATATTTCCTTTGTAATGTATTGGCTTGCCTATGCTGCACAACAGCAAGCCTCGTTTGTCTAACTTCATTTTACGACAGCCTGAAGTTTTCGTATTCTTGTTTGTGGTTTATAATACCGTATAAAAAACGTGTCGTTTGCTGTCTTGTTGGTTCGTGTGAGATTCCGAACCTTCCATTTGACGACAGAGAAGCGTCAGGTCGTTTTTTGACAGTTGTGAAAATGCGTTCGGTTATTTGTTCTTCCGTGCTATGTAAAATGCTACCAAGAGCGCCAGCCAAGCACGGAGAACACTGTCCAAGGAAGCCAAAACCTCACATCACACGGAACCAACCAAATAAAATGCACGATGACCTACCGGTATATAATATTCCAGCATTTTTCCAGTACGGTACCAGGTAGAAACCAACCATGAGATACAATAGTAACGACTTTTACAACTTTGCTAAAAGACCATGGCACAATTATTTCCACTACAGGATATTATATCTATAATTATACATACCATGTTGAAGTGCTAAAGGCACTAATACTACTCTTATTGTAGTCTTAGCGACCTCCTCCAATGGTAGAAACTTATTGCTGTGGTCCAAGCGCCTCTTTGAGATATTAGCAAACAGAAAATATAAAAGGACTTGAGGAAGTCTTGCAAATAATCAAAAGAAGCTGAAAGGCTTTCTCGTTTCTTCGTCGGTACAGAGAGACTTTGTTGATGCTGGGACCCACACTGTTGCATTTCATTGTTGATGCTGATTCTAAAGTAAAGTGCTGGAAGGTTGGAACATTATCAATTATGATGATGTGATGTCAACCATGCGCATCTTCAATATCATCTTGCACCTGCTCGTTATCTTACTGTATTGTTGCGATTTGGCTACGGTTGGCCCTCCACCTCGTGATTGAAGTTATTCGTGACTTGGCGTCCTGCCAAGTGAAAGCGAACGAAAAGTCACATTCGTCTGGTCAACCATCCGAATATTCCCTTGATATTTCTTGCGACAACAACACTCAAACGTCTGATGATCCCAACAATCCGTCCAATGGTCGAGCGTCCATCATTTGACATTCATCTGCATCATCTTCACGTACAACTTGTAGTGTATAAAAATGAACTTATGTAGTTATCCAGGAAAAGGCCGGTCTTGATTCCAACATGGTTATGTGAAAGAGGGACCACATACTAGGATGCAGCAAATTCTTAGATCGCCACATTGTGATACGAGGAAATGGATCCCCCGCTATGCTAGTATGATATACTCAAACGTAGACCGCAGGCACACTGTTCGATCACTTTGACTACATTGTGTTACAGACGGACAAAGGCCGAACGGCCTTCGACCGTCAAAAGTTGTTGTCGATGCGCTGAGGCAATGATGCCCAGTTTATCGACTGAGATTGAATTCACCCACTTTTGTCGTGGTAATTCAATTTTTCTCTCCCAAACCTCACCCGCCCTGTTGGGCACCGCCTCCATTTTACCATATCGGCGGTGCCTGGTAGGAAAGCAGATCTCAGTAATACCGCACACGGGATTTCTGAGATTGGTCGAACGAATCGAGTCTATTACTCGATCAGTTCGACCCGCTACACACACACGGAGGACGGCAGGAGGCTATCTTAGATAGTGCGTATTATGATGCCAGAAATAAATGACGAGAGAAATTTTCGGACCGTGTTTATTTTTTAAAACAACCTCCCTCATCTTTGGATCCCTACATAACAACCTCCCTCATCTTTGGATCCCTACATAACAACCTCCCTCATCTTTGGATCCCTACTTAACAACCCCCTCATCTTTGGATCCCTACCACTTAACAACCCCCCTCCATCCATCTTCGGACCCTTTTTTTTTTTAAATTTTTGAATTCCATCACAAACAGTACACGTACGTACCGGTAGACAGAAAAACGAACAAACTTTTTGACACTATCTTGTTTCAAGTTCAAATAACCTTAGGGCTCCCCAACTGGTTGCTGGACAATATACACCTACAGGTACGCAAGGATGCACAATGCTCGTCGTGGTCGCGCATTACCCTCGTCCATCCAATATTCGTGTAACAGGAGTCTTGGAGGACACACGAAGAGAAGGTGTTCATCAATCGTTATTACAGTAAGAGTGCTCATTTTTTCGCAGACAGTAGTATATTATTTTTACATCGAAGTGTTATCGGACTAGTCATTACAGTATTATTAAACATACATTCATATAGTCATATATTCAAAATAGTTTCTATCCCTTTTCCCTTCCGTCGCGCTGGTATTCTAGAATCAACCAGCTGATCCTGAAAGTAGCTTCCGCCGTTGTCCATGGTTTACGTCCATCCTAGAATTCGAACGCAGTCGTCCTTTTCATATAAGTTTGGTTGCAAAGTTGGTTGATTGTTATTTTTCAATACCAGTACCAGACATGCCAATCTGGCAATGTCATAGCAAAGGATATTGAAATGGGTTGAAGACGCCGCTGCTCCCTTCAGTTTCAGTGCCATCGCGAAACTGCATGTACCACCGAGCATTGCCAATTATACAATACATATAATTGACAATGACAGCTGTTCACATGTCTAACCGATATCGCTTGCTCCCCATATTTGAGCAGGGTGATGGATCACATGATTCTGATATTCCATGGGAGACTTCCGCTTTGTCATTCGAATCCGATAACAGAGTGGTAGAGTTCAAGACTCTTTTTCAAAAATTGAAGGGACCGCTTTTCTGGGCTCTTGCCGATCATGGACACGCTTACGAGCCTCGGCCTGCCCATCCATTCAACAAAGACTGGAGGGAAGCATCCAAACTCAGCAAGCCATGAAACCGTCTGGTTTCGCGTTGCCGATGCAATCCTAGTGAGTGACCAATCCACTAGAAACCACAAAGGAAAACACTAGCCAGCCGAAGGATCCCTTATAAATGTGCGATGACACATCAAGACTTGCAGATTTGCTGTGCAATCATATTATCATAGTTGAACAAAGAAGAAAAGAAAAGTGGTGAGACCATAGTTCAGAAAGTAGATGCAATTGAAACGGTCAGAAAAACTTACCAGGAGAAATGAAGTGACGTCGTCGTCGTTGTCATGACAAAAATTGTCATTATGGGGTGAATTTCCATTAAGCTGTTTGATGGGTTGTTCGTGTGTTGTCGCACACTATTATCATCCTTCATCTTTTCAAAGTTGTACCAAGAATGTACTTTTTAATTGGCACCGTTTCGTCGATTTGCCACTCGGCGACTGTATCGTCTTCCTTGTTCCGTCATGCCAGATCCCAAAGCTTCGGTGAAAGTATCCTCTGCATGTGGAATGAGAAGCTTGGCCCGTCGAAGGCTGTAGCGCTTTCCAGACTCGGTCCATCCCGATCCCATCCCATCAGGAGGAATATCAATAGTAGCTGCGATGTCAGAGTCCTCGGGCGGTGGTGCCGGAATGTCGTCATCGATGATAGTATCCTCCAAAGGATCCTCGGTAGAATCAATGCCGTCATCAATCAATCCAGCATCCAAAGACGATTCAATATCGCTAAAGTTGTCTTGTTCTTCTTCTTCTTCTGGATCTTCAAAAATGACAGGTAGCAAAGGAGTGAATCGTTCATTGATTCGTTTGGCCCATTCTGTAGCAGAAGTTGGAACCGTAGATGAATTCAATTTGCGACGCTTGGTAGGCCGGGAGGAAACAAGGGAGCAAGTTGCAGTTCTCTTGAGTGACAATCGTGGTGCTTCATCTTGCATGTCATTGGGCTCGACGTTGTCGTCATCATCCAAATCCATTGGTACGGGAATATTGGAGAGCATATCAGGAAGGACGGTTGTGCGAAGCATTTGGTGGTGATTCTCAAGCGCAAGTGCAAAGCTTGGACCTTCCGAATCAATGTCTTCATCAATTAATCCAGCATCCAAAGACGAGTCAAAGTGGTTCTTGTCTTCTTCTTCTGGATCTTCAGTAATGACAGGAAGGGTAGGTTTGAAATCAATCTTTCGATGAACCTTTTTCTTGGCCTTTCTCTTGGCCTTCCTCTTGGCCATCACAGTACTCCGCAGCTGGGGAAGCACTCGTTCTTCAAAATACTTGCATAGTCCATGATATCTAATCTGACTGTAAATGTCTCGAATTCGATTCTTCCTGGATTGAATATCTTCCGGGTCTGGCATGAAGTTTCTTCTCTGATTGGTCAGGGTGAAACTGACACGATTGGTGGTTCTCGGTGATTTCCAATCTTTTCTTGCAGGACGAAGAATGGAAACAGGTGCTGTAGTTGGCGTAGATGTAGGTGGAGCGTGTTCCAGACTGTTGCAGTCTACATATTCCAGACTGTCCCAATCCTGTTCCTCGTCGTTCATGGGGAAGAAAACCTTGTCGTCTCCTTTGGCGAAGCTTGCAACGTCAGAGTCGCTGTTGTCATCAATCAATCCAGCATCCAAAGACAAGTCAAAAGTACTCATGATGACGTCTTCTTCTTCTGGATCTTCAATGATGACAGGTAGCAAAGGAGTGAATCGTTCATTGATTTGTTTGGCCCATTCTGTAGCAGAAGTTGGAACCGTAGATGAATTTAATTTGCGACGCTTGGTAGGCCGGGAGGAAACAAGGGAGCAAGTTGCAGTTCTCTTGAGTGACAATCGTGGTGCTTCGTCTTGCATGTCATTGGGCTTGACGTTGCCGTCATCATCCAAATCCATTGGTACGGGAATATTGGAGAGCATGTCATCAAGGACGGTTCGAAGCAGTTGTCGGTGGTTCTCGAGCGCAATTGCAATGGTTTCAGAGTCGACATTGCCATCAATAAATCCAGTATCCAAAGACGAGTCAATGTCACTCAAATCTTCTTCTGCTGGGTCTTCGATAATGGTGGCAAGCACGGTAGGTTTGAAATCGATCTTCCAGCGTTGGGCATTCCGTCTCTTGACCTTGCATTCAATTTGATGAATTAGCTGTCTTCGGGACTTCAGCTCTTCCTCGTCGGGAATGAAGTTTCTCCTTCGAGTCTTAGGGGCAAATTGGACTCTGTTTGATGAGGTTGGTTTGGGTGATCCCCAATCTTTTCTTGAAGGACGAAGAATGGACACAGGAGTATGTGGAACGAATCTCACTGTGTTCTCTATCTCTGGAATTACTTCGTCGTGAAGTTGAATGCGCCATTGAATCAGACCCCAGCATTCCCTGCGAGATTGTAGCTCTTGCTCGTTTGGGACAAAGGTTCGACGAAAGATTTTGGCAAAACGGACACGGTTTGGTTTTCTGGTGAACACACCAAACCAACTTCGGTTTTTCTTGCGATGAGACGACCCTCCTGGACGACGAAGAATGGAAACAGGAGGCTGTTGTCGGTTGCAGCTCCGTTGCTCGCAAAGTCCTTGATAGCTTCGGTATAGGTCGAGCGCCATGTACCAAAGTAACAAGAGCGCCGTCGCACAAACCAAACCGGCTGCGATGGTTTCTCGAACGGTTTGAGTGACGATCAAAGGCATCCGAACAGGCAATCGAAAGAAGCTGATGCCTGCTTGAATGATGTATTCTTGATTGACGATGATGGTAGTGATGTAGTTGATGTAGTTGATAATAGTGTTGGTCATGGTGATGTTTGGTCTAGTTGGTGTATTGGTTGGTGTAAAGAATTTCATAATGTAAGTTGTGAGGTGTGTGTGTGAAAACAAAACGTTCAGCCCAAGCGGTTGGAGAAAAAAGCGGTGTGTGTAGTGTTCGCGGAGTCTCCACGTTTGACTCCTTCGAATCAATCTAGCAATACAGTATTTGAAAATGCTGATGCTGATTCTAAAGTAAAGTGCTGGAAGGTTGGAACATTATCAATTATGATGATGTGATGTCAACCATGCGCATCTTCAATACCATCTTGCACCTGCTCGTTATCTTACTGTATTGTTGCGATTTGGCTATGGTTGGCCCTCCACCTCGTGATTGAAGTTATTCGTGACTTGGCGTCCTGCCAAGTGAAAGCGAACGAAAAGTCACATTCGTCTGGTCAACCATCCGAATATTCCCTTGATATTTCTTGCGACAACAACACTCAAACGTCTGATGATCCCAACAATCCGTCCAATGGTCGAGCGTCCATCATTTGACATTCATCTGCATCATCTTCACGTACAACTTGTAGTGTATAAAAATGAACTTATGTAGTTATCCAGGAAAAGGCCGGTCTTGATTCCAACATGGTTATGTGAAAGAGGGACCACATACTAGGATGCAGCAAATTCTTAGATCGCCACATTGTGATACGAGGAAATGGATCCCCCGCTATGCTAGTATGATATACTCAAACGTAGACCGCAGGCACACTGTTCGATCACTTTGACTACATTGTGTTACAGACGGACAAAGGCCGAACGGCCTTCGACCGTCAAAAGTTGTTGTCGATGCGCTGACAATGATGCCCAGTTTATCGACTGAGATTGAATTCACCCACTTGTGTCGTGGTAATTCAATTTTTCTCTCCCAAACCTCACCCGCCCTGTTGGGCACCGCCTCCATTTTACCATATCGGCGGTGCCTGGTAGGAAAGCAGATCTCAGTAATACCGCACACGGGATTTCTGAGATTGGTCGAACGAATCGAGTCTATTACTCGATCAGTTCGACCCGCTACACACACACGGAGGACGGCAGTAGGCTATCTTTTAGATAGTGCGTATTATGATGCCAGAAATAAAAATGACGAGAGAAATTTTCGGACCGTGTTTATTTTTTAAAACAACCTCCCTCATCTTTGGATCCCTACATAACAACCTCCCTCATCTTTGGATCCCTACATAACAACCTCCCTCATCTTTGGATCCCTACTTAACAACCCCCTCATCTTTGGATCCCTACCACTTAACAACCCCCCTCCATCCATCTTCGGACCCTTTTTTTTTTTAAATTTTTGAATTCCATCACAAACAGTACACGTACGTACCGGTAGACAGAAAAACGAACAAACTTTTTGACACTATCTTGTTTCAAGTTCAAATAACCTTAGGGCTCCCCAACTGGTTGCTGGACAATATACACCTACAGGTACGCAAGGATGCACAATGCTCGTCGTGGTCGCGCATTACCCTCGTCCATCCAATATTCGTGTAACAGGAGTCTTGGAGGACACACGAAGAGAAGGTGTTCATCAATCGTTATTACAGTAAGAGTGCTCATTTTTTCGCAGACAGTAGTATATTATTTTTACATCGAAGTGTTATCGGACTAGTCATTACAGTATTATTAAACATACATTCATATAGTCATATATTCAAAATAGTTTCTATCCCTTTTCCCTTCCGTCGCGCTGGTATTCTAGAATCAACCAGCTGATCCTGAAAGTAGCTTCCGCCGTTGTCCATGGTTTACGTCCATCCTAGAATTCGAACGCAGTCGTCCTTTTCATATAAGTTTGGTTGCAAAGTTGGTTGATTGTTATTTTTCAATACCAGTACCAGACATGCCAATCTGGCAATGTCATAGCAAAGGATATTGAAATGGGTTGAAGACGCCGCTGCTCCCTTCAGTTTCAGTGCCATCGCGAAACTGCATGTACCACCGAGCATTGCCAATTATACAATACATATAATTGACAATGACAGCTGTTCACATGTCTAACCGATATCGCTTGCTCCCCATATTTGAGCAGGGTGATGGATCACATGATTCTGATATTCCATGGGAGACTTCCGCTTTGTCATTCGAATCCGATAACAGAGTGGTAGAGTTCAAGACTCTTTTTCAAAAATTGAAGGGACCGCTTTTCTGGGCTCTTGCCGATCATGGACACGCTTACGAGCCTCGGCCTGCCCATCCATTCAACAAAGACTGGAGGGAAGCATCCAAACTCAGCAAGCCATGAAACCGTCTGGTTTCGCGTTGCCGATGCAATCCTAGTGAGTGACCAATCCACTAGAAACCACAAAGGAAAACACTAGCCAGCCGAAGGATCCCTTATAAATGTGCGATGACACATCAAGACTTGCAGATTTGCTGTGCAATCATATTATCATAGTTGAACAAAGAAGAAAAGAAAAGTGGTGAGACCATAGTTCAGAAAGTAGATGCAATTGAAACGGTCAGAAAAACTTACCAGGAGAAATGAAGTGACGTCGTCGTCGTTGTCATGACAAAAATTGTCATTATGGGGTGAATTTCCATTAAGCTGTTTGATGGGTTGTTCGTGTGTTGTCGCACACTATTATCATCCTTCATCTTTTCAAAGTTGTACCAAGAATGTACTTTTTAATTGGCACCGTTTCGTCGATTTGCCACTCGGCGACTGTATCGTCTTCCTTGTTCCGTCATGCCAGATCCCAAAGCTTCGGTGAAAGTATCCTCTGCATGTGGAATGAGAAGCTTGGCCCGTCGAAGGCTGTAGCGCTTTCCAGACTCGGTCCATCCCGATCCCATCCCATCAGGAGGAATATCAATAGTAGCTGCGATGTCAGAGTCCTCGGGCGGTGGTGCCGGAATGTCGTCATCGATGATAGTATCCTCCAAAGGATCCTCGGTAGAATCAATGCCGTCATCAATCAATCCAGCATCCAAAGACGATTCAATATCGCTAAAGTTGTCTTGTTCTTCTTCTTCTTCTGGATCTTCAAAAATGACAGGTAGCAAAGGAGTGAATCGTTCATTGATTCGTTTGGCCCATTCTGTAGCAGAAGTTGGAACCGTAGATGAATTCAATTTGCGACGCTTGGTAGGCCGGGAGGAAACAAGGGAGCAAGTTGCAGTTCTCTTGAGTGACAATCGTGGTGCTTCATCTTGCATGTCATTGGGCTCGACGTTGTCGTCATCATCCAAATCCATTGGTACGGGAATATTGGAGAGCATATCAGGAAGGACGGTTGTGCGAAGCATTTGGTGGTGATTCTCAAGCGCAAGTGCAAAGCTTGGACCTTCCGAATCAATGTCTTCATCAATTAATCCAGCATCCAAAGACGAGTCAAAGTGGTTCTTGTCTTCTTCTTCTGGATCTTCAGTAATGACAGGAAGGGTAGGTTTGAAATCAATCTTTCGATGAACCTTTTTCTTGGCCTTTCTCTTGGCCTTCCTCTTGGCCATCACAGTACTCCGCAGCTGGGGAAGCACTCGTTCTTCAAAATACTTGCATAGTCCATGATATCTAATCTGACTGTAAATGTCTCGAATTCGATTCTTCCTGGATTGAATATCTTCCGGGTCTGGCATGAAGTTTCTTCTCTGATTGGTCAGGGTGAAACTGACACGATTGGTGGTTCTCGGTGATTTCCAATCTTTTCTTGCAGGACGAAGAATGGAAACAGGTGCTGTAGTTGGCGTAGATGTAGGTGGAGCGTGTTCCAGACTGTTGCAGTCTACATATTCCAGACTGTCCCAATCCTGTTCCTCGTCGTTCATGGGGAAGAAAACCTCGTCGTCTCCTTTGGCGAAGCTTGCAACGTCAGAGTCGCTGTTGTCATCAATCAATCCAGCATCCAAAGACAAGTCAAAAGTACTCATGATGATGTCTTCTTCTTCTGGATCTTCAATAATGACAGGTAGCAAAGGAGTGAATCGTTCATTGATTCGTTTGGCCCATTCTGTAGCAGAAGTTGGAACCGTAGATGAATTCAATTTGCGACGCTTGGTAGGCCGGGAGGAAACAAGGGAGCAAGTTGCAGTTCTCTTGAGTGACAATCGTGGTGCTTCATCTTGCATGTCATTGGGCTCGACGTTGTCGTCATCATCCAAATCCATTGGTACGGGAATATTGGAGAGCATATCAGGAAGGACGGTTGTGCGAAGCATTTGGTGGTGATTCTCAAGCGCAAGTGCAAAGCTTGGACCTTCCGAATCAATGTCTTCATCAATTAATCCAGCATCCAAAGACGAGTCAAAGTGGTTCTTGTCTTCTTCTTCTGGATCTTCAGTAATGACAGGAAGGGTAGGTTTGAAATCAATCTTTCGATGAACCTTTTTCTTGGCCTTTCTCTTGGCCTTCCTCTTGGCCATCACAGTACTCCGCAGCTGGGGAAGCACTCGTTCTTCAAAATACTTGCATAGTCCATGATATCTAATCTGACTGTAAATGTCTCGAATTCGATTCTTCCTGGATTGAATATCTTCCGGGTCTGGCATGAAGTTTCTTCTCTGATTGGTCAGGGTGAAACTGACACGATTGGTGGTTCTCGGTGATTTCCAATCTTTTCTTGCAGGACGAAGAATGGAAACAGGTGCTGTAGTTGGCGTAGATGTAGGTGGAGCGTGTTCCAGACTGTTGCAGTCTACATATTCCAGACTGTCCCAATCCTGTTCCTCGTCGTTCATGGGGAAGAAAACCT